ATAAAATACCAAAGTACCCGAATAACTACAAAAACGTTTAGTCTTAAATTTTTGTTTCGATACACACGCACAGAAATACAATTGGAGTATTGGACTGTTGGTAATATAATACATGATTACAGCAAATAGTCTTTACTAGATTATCGTACGTCACGCGTTCTATTTATGTCATTATGTATGAAATTGTTTTATTAAACAATTAATTAAACAATGAGTACACATGCGTGTCTGCAAAACTATCGTTTCACACTTCTAGCGTATAATGTTTTTAACATTTTCCCATCCGAGTCCCAAGTAAAAAATCCTGATTGTATGCTACCGGGACGATAATAATTGTTTATTCTGGTTTTTTATCATTTTGTATACATAGAAACATTAATTTGTAACGTGTATCCACAAGTGTCTATATGACCAACAGATAATATTATAAATCGCTTGTTTATACATGTACAAACAAAAGTATGAGTGCACGCTTATTGGGATGAGTTGATGGGCGTTTAAAGAAATAAAAAAACAAACATTCTCATATTTTTTCAACATGAACTGGAATGCAAACCGAGCGTACATCATAATTATTTACTGTATAATAATACATTTAATAATGCACATCATACAATTTACTTTCACAGTTTCCCCGTTTTCACGCTGTGGTTCCACAAACCGGAACCACGTGTTAGACATAATAATGTCACACATAATCGTGCTGTTGCTAATGGTACAACAACATTATATTGAAATGATGTCCTTGATATATATTGCTTCAATTTGTATCAATATTGGTCGACAATTGAAAGAAAAAAAAAATTTCACAATACCGAAACCCAGTGGATATTTACAACGGAGTAAAGGTGCGCTTAAACCGGAGTGGCAGCGGTGGCGGTAAATTCGGCGGTAAAAATAACGCTTGAATACCGCTTGATTTATCTGGACGAAGCGAAATATTTCGCCGAGCCTAGTCGACATCGTGACACTTTCCATGTATAGATTATTTTATCGGTAACTTTTCTATAAATAATAATATGTTTATATTAAATTGTCGATTTGTGCACGGTGCACGTGAGTTGGGAACTGATTATCGCTGCGGCAAGCGAAAAATAAAAATATTGTGCTTAACAAATGATCGCGGTAACATTTTCCGCGATATTAATTTTGCGATAATGAGTATTAAAACATGTGAACATTCATTTTCGCTACCGCTTCGGTTTGAGCGGACCTTAATTAGTCACGTTGCACATAATTTACAATTTTTCTTTATAATATAATATAATTATCAGTTGATTTATGGATTAATTATATCTGTCCATAAAATTATTTTTAATATATATATATATATTAATTAGAATTAATAATTATTACGCATGTTATATTATCAATGAGTGTGGTGTTAGTTAAACATGTTTACTCAATAGTAATAATAGGTAATAATAATTTATATATATTTTTTTATCAATGGAGTTTAGATATTTTGATATCATAAATGTAAATACGTATTCCCAATTGTAGAATGTTTAGAATAATATTGAATTAATTTTATTATAGCCTTAGAATATGTATTAACAACTTATACAATTGGGTTTCGTCGTATCTATGAGATTGTGTATATCAAAAGTAATAATAATCATTAACTTTTAAACCATAATGGTACTTAATTGTGAATTTGATTGAATTTATTGGAGAGCTATCGAGAGCAATAAAAAAAAAAAATAATAATAATTTTAGTTTTAACTTGACTTTCAACGCGATCATGACCATTTTTGACTATGTTTAGAAAAGATCTTTTCCTCAAGGAAAAAATCGCGATCTTGGACAAAGTGAAGTTTCTTTCTTCAGGCTCTTAATAACGTAAAATCGCTGAAAAATTATGCATCAGATTATATATTTTCATAATTATTTTGTACATTTGTTTATTAATTTAACATTTTTTTTTTTTTCAAATGTTATGGCTTACGTGTGTAAAATAAAAACTTTTATGATATTATAAATGTTGGTGTTTTTTTTAACTAAATTCAGTTTATAACGCCAACCGCAAATGGATTTGGTCCCAATGTATTCATATTAAGCAGAATCCACTGTATGTATAAAAGTTGCTTATATTCCGAACATCCGAACATCTTTCAATTCATTGATGTATTAATTAGAAGTTTGAATTGAAACATATATAAAATTGCGAAGTAGAGACAAATTATAGATTCTTAAGTCAAAAAATAAGGAAATATTTATAAAAACAGAAATGGACAGTTATAAAAATAATAAAATAAATATATAAGAATTTGTAAAAAAATGTTGTTGTACATTTTTATCTCATTACAATAGCACTCGTAGGGGGTGCCGGGGGAGAAATAAAGAAAAATAAATTGAAGAAAATATTGTTTTTTTAAAGTAACTAAAAAAACGATATTCTTATCTTCAATAAAGAATAGTATTTTAATAGCAATCACACTTTTATTTACTACGTGTAGAGGTGAAAGATTATTCATGTTTGAACTTCATATTTTTAAAATTGTATTAATACGTCATTATATTAATTATTTTATTTCTATTATAACCTTTTTATGAGCTTACTAACAAAATTAAAAACATGGTTTCACAATACTATATTCACAATATTACTCAAAACCGCATAAATGGATTAGTTTTAATGTATATTTATAATAATGTACTTAAAAACCAAAAACTTATGGTTATAGCAGTGGCATATATACGGGGAAGGGTGGGGGGGGGTTCCCGGGTTCAACCCCCCCAGGGCCAAAAAAAAAATTGTTTTATTATTGATGACGTGTAATATATTTGTAGTTTCATTATTACGCTTTGAACTTAAAATATACAACTATACAAATATTATGATAATTAAATAATTATATTGATAGGTGTTTGAAAAGTTTTGTTAAATATGCTGTTTTTATATTGAAATAGCTATTAATTTACTGTAATGTAAAAGTAAACTGTAAATTGGTAAAAAAAGTATAAAATAATATCTATTTATAGCTGTTATTTATTTTATTTTTCCGTGCAACGAAAAAAAAAAGATAACGATTATTTTTATTAAACTCCCCCCAGAGCAAGATTGAATGTACGCCACTGGGTTATAGGTAGTGGAAAAAAAATCATTTTGCATGGAGCCTAGAGAGTTCAGTTTTTATTTAATAGCTAACAATTTACAATTATATTTTGTAATTCTTAAAATTTTAATACTTTTCATATATTTTGTTCAGTTTTTTAATTTGATGATTTTAACTAAAAGCTTTATTTAATATCAATACTTGGCATAATTCTAGTTTAGCAACCTATTTTTTAATTTTTTTTTCCCAAAATGTGTGTTCTAGTGTGTTTTATAAGTATGCTAAAAAAAAGTAGCCCGAGCAAACTTCGTTTTGAAGTTATTGATGAAAAAATTCAAAAATTTCATTTTTTTCATAACCCACATTTTTTTTTTTAAAAATACTTAGAATTGAATATTTAATTTTAATTTCTACATATTTACATTTTTATTATCCCTGTTACCTACTTGAGGTGGTTTTGTATAGCAAGTCGAGGGATATTTTCGATTTGCAGTGCGAAGCGACGGCGCTGAGGAGCATAGCGACGAATACCGAAACACTCATTTATTAGTTTCATTGGCCATTGATATCTATTGAGATTCATTGTTACCACACGCATCGTTTACAAAAAAATTTTATTTCATTTTCACACTATTAGACAATTTTTAATGAATTATTCTTCATAAATACTTTGTATGTAGGTGGACCGGGGTTAATTGTTGAAATTGACGAATCAAAATTCGGAAGGGGAAAATATCACAAAGGACATCACTTCAAGTTTTTGAAGTTTTTCATCAATAACTTCAAAACGAAGTTTGTCCGGGGTTCTTTTTTTACATACTTATAAAACACCCTAAAACACATATTTTGGAGAAAAAAAATTAAAAAATCGATAGGTTGCTAAACTAGAATCGTTCCAAACATTCAATGGAATTATGGTAATTTAGATAAAATTATATTATTTTGTCTACAACCATAAATTATAGGTAAGTATAACATTTCTTAACGGTAGTTATATATTTTTGACTTTATCCCACTCTCAGGCACGAACGGGTTTAAGGGGGTGGCTAAGGGGGAATTAGCCCCCCCCATTGGGACTAAGCTATTTATTTTACAAAGCAAAGTATTATTACATATTAATAATTATAATAAAATATCGTCAATGGTCATTGATGAATATGGTACCTACCTATTTTCTATATTTTTTTTTATAAATAAATAGCTCATGTTTGTTGTTAATTATATGTATTTTACCTATATTTTAAAATGGTTTCAGATTAAAATTGATATCAATAATGTAACTATTTAAACTTTGTCATTATTGTGAAAAAAATTACTTACATATGAGGGACTCAAAAACATATTCCGTAATTTAAAATTTTATATAGATTTAAAAAACCAACCAACTAAATTCTTAAACCTCCATTAGACCCTCCCTTGGTTAGTGATAAAACCCGCCCCTGCTCCCAGGATTATATTTCTAAGGACGCTTTTGCCTCAATAATGCATAATACATACTCTTACAAATAAAAAATAAATTGACGAATTAAAAAAAATATATTTAATTAAAAATAAAAATGACATATTTTATGACAAAAACCACTATTTTTAACCATACCTGCATAATATGAAGAAAGTCCTAAGTATGTATAAATGGGAAAGAAAACTGAAAATGCTTTTACCCGGAAACCAACTCGGGTATACCGATTTATTTTACCATTACGTTATGACGGTAGAATTTACAAACACGATCACCGGGTCCGTTCGTTCGTTCGTCCGTCTTAAATAGAACGCACCGGAGCGCAGGCGTGAATTCGAAGACCACGACGAGAATGGCACTGAAATACACATCGTGCGCGTGCGCAAACGGTTTGGTTATCTGAAGTGACGTGAGGTTACGGTATGGCGGGGCTATGATAACGCGAGTGCGAACAAAGAGGTTTCCAGTGGTTTCCCACTACCGAACGTGGTACTCCGTTCGTAGTTCGCGTAGTCACATTAACTCCGTCTCTCGTCGTCGTTATTATTGTTGTTTTCATTATTAATATTATTATCATCATTATCAAATTACTGTTGGTTTCATTATCGCGGGTTGTCATGTCCTCATCACGGAATTCGATTGTTTCCCTTCACTGACTTTCGCCGCGCTCTCGTCTGTCACCTCGGTAATATTCAGTGTTAGTTGCCGTCTTATTAGAATCCGTCTTCACTCGTTTATTTTTTCAAATCCCTTTCCCCCCATAGATGTGGTCGCACATATTGGCGACAGCAGTCCCGACGGCCGTCACCATCGTCACCGATATATCAACTACAATAGGAGCAACAGCAGCAGCAGCAGCAGCAGCAGCGATAACTTCAGCGATAATGACTTCAGTAACGCAGCGGGACCGAACGTGCGTCGCGACCAGCTGAAACTCAACACGCGCGTCCTTACCTGCTGCTATACTATTTATGAGACGGTTGCGTATTCTGAACGAACGTCAGTAGCATTAGCAATTAGTACCAGTAACGGTTGCAACTGGCGATGGTAGCGTGCGTCGATGAATCACGTGCATGATATCCGCGATCGTTTTGTATCATCCGTGTTTCTTTTTCATTTTTATCATCGTAACCTCTTCCATTTTCATCCGTTCGTCTGACCATAGGCCACCGTTTGGATTAAAGTGAAAGCGAGCCCGCGAACGGAAGCGCGACAAACGGACGTACCGCTCGTTGCCGCTACTGCGGCCGAGCGCACCGCCAACCCGCACTGGTGAGTAGAACAAGTGCGAACAGGGTTCGTATAGGTGTGTGTGTGTGTATGTGCTGCTCGGCTCGCGGGATTCAGCTAAAACGGGTTTCTTTCCTTTCGTTTGCTGGCCCCAGAGTTTGGTCAGCACTTCCAGACATTGTGTCTTAGACAAACTTTTCGATAGGAGTAAAAAACGCCTTTGATTAATAATTTCTCTTCCCTTCACAGTTTGTTCGTAGTGCTCTCCATCACTCTACCATGGGACTGTTGTTTTCGAAAATCTGGAGTTACTTTGGTACCGAAGGTAAATGTCTCTAAAATCTCTAACTGAGTGGTTCACCATACCTAATCATACATTGTTTTTTTTGTATTCCTGTAGAACACAAGATCGTTATTATTGGTCTTGATAATGCGGGCAAGACTACCATACTGTATCAGTTTCTAATGAATGAGGTTGTACACACGTCGCCAACAATCGGCTCAAATGTTGAGGAGGTGGTGTGGAACAATATTCATTTTATCATGTGGGATTTGGGCGGACAACAATCTCTTAGAGCTGCATGGTCTACCTACTATTGCAATACTGAGGTATGTTTTTACTTATTATGTTAAGTCATAATTTGTGTTGATAGTTGTTGTTAATAAAGATAATACTAGTGAAAATAATGATATTTAATTGGAATTTGTGTAAATAATCAAATCTGTATAATAAATTGATTATAATGTACTAAGGCAGTTATCAAATGTTTTCAATGCTAAAATAAACATTATCATATTTAATCACTTATCATCTTTGTTTTTTATATAAATAAATAACATTGTTTGCTTAAATACCATGTTAGTAGTACAGTTTTATTATAGCTTATAATATTATTAACAAGATCCTATGATTTTTTTTCATAATCTTTTTTTTTTTTAAATTTGAATTTAAAAACAAGTTATAATTAACATTGTTTAAATAATATTCAGTATTAGATATATAAAATTGATTCAGTATTCAAAAAAAAATAAACTTAAGTACCCATAGCTTACAAAATATTATTATTTCTACTAATAAATTTCGGAGTAGGAATTATACTAAGTATTCAATACAAGGTCAAAACTAAAAAAACTGGAACTAGGAAGGAATTGAAAAATACAAAACATTTTAAAATTGTTGTGTGAGTTCCATAATGTTTAACTTGATATAATAATAAATAATTCAAGGTAACTTTCAGTCTCCATAACCATCTCTATTTTAGTTATGACATGGACCCCACCATAACAAAACTGTACTACTGAAGAATTTTGCAGTTTTAGCTTGCGTTAGAGAAAGTAACAAATGTAAATGTCTTCTTGTTACAATGTTATTATTGAGGAATTAAACTATTTAGGTAAACAATAATTTAAGCACTATTTGTAGATTTTTTAAAGTATAAATGTAAAAAATAAATATTAAATATTTAATGTAGAAATTCAAGATAATTGATACATTTTACATTTATTTTCTTTAAATTATAAAATATTAATCAGTATTTGTTTTTGCAGTATTAAATCTGCTTTTTTAATTTAAACAAATAATTAATGGTATTTTCTTAATTTTTTTGCTAGTTTTGTAAAACTGTTGAGTATTTGAATTATATTGGGATCGATCAAAAATCTAATCTTTTATTTGATATTTCACATAAATTTTCTGAAAAACCGTCTATTACAATGAGTAAGTTATAAACTTTTGTTTAAAAATAATGTGAAATTTTACAATTTATTCATTATTTTGAAAGTATATTACATTTTTTTAATTTAAGAATTATTTAAAATAAATAGTTTATTTAATTAAATTTTATGTTTTATCTATGAATTCTGTTTTATTTTTAATATTTATAAAGCAAATAATTTGTTAATAATAATATGTCTTATTTACTTTTATTTAGCATCTAAATGTAATTGTTCTATAGAAACAATGTTATTAATTTTACTAACTATTTAATCATATTATTAGTTGTTATTTATAATTTAAGATTAGATATATTACAGTAATTTTAAACTATTTAATTAAGAATTAATTATTCATTGGTCTTAAAACTCAACTCATCCACTGCAAGGTCTATCTTTTTGGATGTATTGTAACTATTGTTACTATATTAATTTTGTTATATAATTTTACAACAGGGGTGTATATACTTTCTTCTAGGGGGAGCAAATCAAATTTTTTCTTTAATTCAGGCTCAAAATTTACAAGTAAAATTTTTGATAATATTTAAATCAGGTGAATCCTTAATATTTGTGGTTTTTTTTTTTTTTTTAATCTAATGCTGGATCCACTTAGAATTGACTTTTGTGTAGTTTAACATTGTTTTTAACACCTGTGTTTTGAAAGTTACGCTTGTGTTTTATTTGATTTTTCACTAAGTATGGACCCAACAAAAAGTTCAATTCAGTATTCACAGCTACGCGTAATTTGATTTAATTATAAAATTATCCACATTAAAAAAATTTGAAATGTGTATCTCACATATAATCAATTCTTTAAATACGGATTCAAGAGGGATCACCCCTTTGCCCCTCACCCCTAAAATACGCCCATGTTTTACAATACACATTCATTATTTATTAATTAAGAATTATTATATTATTTTTAATATTATTTTCCCAAATTCGATCTTTATGTAAAAAGAAAAGTTTTTTTTTAAGCTTTCTGTTGAGAAAAATTACTGCTCAATTATAAATTGGTTTCATAATAATATTGTTAGACTAAACCAAATTAAAAAAAAAAATTACAGATAAATATAATTAAACATAATGTTAATTGATAACAATGCAAAGTTAAAATTATATATGATAAGACTAATTAAGAAATTATAATTTTAATTAGGTCAGTTGTAAGAAGTTAAAGGGACAAAGATTGAATAATTTGTATGAATTCAGAATTGAAAAGCACAAATAAAATTCCCAATAAAACCAAAAATTATATTTGTATTTTGTATTATTGTTTCAGTTTGTGATAGTTGTTATTGACTCAACAGACCGTAGTCGTCTGGATTTAAGTCGTGAAGAATTGTACAAGGTATTGAATAATGAAGAACTTTCTTCAGCCGCTGTTCTTGTTTATGCTAATAAGCAGGACATGAAAGGAGCGTTGACCGCTGCAGAGATCAGTAAACATTTAAACCTGACTTCCATTAAGAAACAACAGTGGCATATCCAAGCTTGTTGTGCACTAACTGGTGAAGGGTAAGTGATTAAATTATTATTAGTAAATAATTCAAAATTGAAAAACTGACTTCCATGTAATAAATCATAAAAATTATGTATTTTTGCAGATTATATCAAGGTTTAGAATGGATATGCAGTCAATTAAAAAATAAATGACTATGATTGTTGTTGTTATTTTTATTATGATAATTTTAAATTTCTTTTTATAAATCAATTTGTATACAATTTAATAAATGTACTAAGGATAAATAATTGTAAAATATATTTTAAGGTGTAAATAATATTCTAATTTAATTATTGATTATTATTCATAATATACTTGTGTTTTCTTTATTTTTCAATGTTTGGTTACTGGTAAACTTCCAAATTTTCAAATTTATAGTAAATAATTGAACAACTTGTGTTATAGCTTTATTTACTTATAACAGTTAATATAATTTGCTTTAATATTTCATCAATAGCTAAATAAATAAATAATTAAAAATACAATTTTTAAAACAAATTACAGTATTAAAAATTAATAAACAATTGTTAATAAAAGTAAATATTTCCAAAAAAATGTGTTTTTATGTTAATTCAATATTTGCATTTAGGAATAAGAAATTTTTAAGTTTAACACTTTAATTAAATGTAATCGTCAGGTATGTCTCTTCTTTATAACATACAAATTTTAACTATCAATTTTTTATTTTTCTCAATTTTTAATGAATTATTTGAAAAGAAAATTTATCATTTATAAAATGTATTGTGAATAAATATTTTTATTATAAAAATGTTCTATTATAAATATATTTTTGATTAACAAATAAAGTGAAATTTTCTTTTACAATTGCTTAATGTCTGAAAATGAGAAACATTAGTACTTATTACATTAGTTATAATTTATTTATTTTATTTTATCAATTTAAATCCGTAAATATTTAAATTTGAATATTATTTCATAATACTTATGATAATAAGTTAAAAAAAGTTACACTTATTTATGTTTGAATAATAATAATCAAACAATTAAGTATTTTAATAAGTAGGTTCGCTTAAAAGGCTGTTATATTGATTTGAACCACAGGATATTTTCTTTAAACATACTAAGTAGGTGATTCAATGTAATCCATGTGAAATAAATCTGAAAACTTCACCATTTGACATCATTTTTAAATATGTGGTATTATTTTAATTTGGATAATAATAAAAGTATTGATTTATCATATCCTTAAAATTATTCAATAACATTTAATTAATGTAATTTAAAAACAAATAGTAAATTCCAATAGCCGATTCTTCCGAGGGTTATTTTGAATATAAAAAATGAAGTATTTATAAATCGTTACAATATAGGGAAGGAACCATGTTTAATTTAAAATTTAATATCAACAGCTAGAACCAAAACTATTATAATTTTGTTTTATATGTTGAGAAAATTGTATGTTATTTATGTTTATATACTTGAGAAAATATTACTTGTTCAAGAAATTGATTGTATGAGTTAAGGCTAATACTGAGTTATATATTATAGTCATTATAGTCTATAAATAATCAGCAATTATTAATTTATTTATCACATCAGCTGCTTTTCTATACTTTTGTCTATTGTTCCTAGATGTTATTATAACTTATTAAAAATATTAATTTAAAAAATCCAATCATAACTTATTAGACTTTTAATATGAAAAAAATATTCAACAACTAGTTTAAAAAATATAATTTAATACATTTTGTTTTGAAGTTATTATTTTATACAAGAATATTACACAATGAACAATATAATTGATGTTTAAAAAAATTAAATAAATTCAATGTATTTATGTATTTAATATTTAATTATAAGTAAGAATTAATTATTTCGGTACAAATCTGAAATATTATAAATTTTGTTTTCGATTTTTAAGTCTCATCTCTTTAAGAATACATACATTTATTATATTTTTAATATAAAATCAATAAAATAATTTAAAAAAATAATTCTAATCTTAAAACATTATATATATATATATATTTTATAGTCCTTTAGGTACAAACCAAATACATAACAAAATGTCTTGTATATACTATTAAAATAATATCGCTTCTTACAATCTGCTATAATTATAATTTTTTTGACAAATCTGGATCACCGGCGTATCTGAAATTTTCAATCCAACACTCGTTAACGAAACGTCTTATTTTGAAAAATCCATTTTCTCCCCAAGAAGTTCCCCAGGAGTTGGCTAATAGCCAGTATGCTTGTCCTTGGTATAAGCCCCAACCGATCATTCGTACCGACAACATACCCAGGTAATCTCCGGTAACGTGTTGGTAAATACCTGTTTTAAAAACAAAATAACAGTAATTGTTTCCATCGCTTTTATCCCCGATCCGTAGAACACACAGGATTTTAATTCGATAAGGATTTATACTATAAGAGTATATTTATACTTCAAAAAAATTATCTTCGCGGTAAGTGAGAGAAGGCGGCCATTTCGGGTAAGTAGAAATGTAGAACCTTAACCTTGCATATGCCACTGACTAAGCTAGTGTTTAGAAATAGAGTCATATTTACAATTAGGAAACTGTCTATGACCTACGTTATAATGGGGCTTCAGATTTTTATGAACATTTTTATTTTTATTACAACTTTAGTCGTTGAAAATAAATATAAACAAAATATAATACTTCAAAGAAATATCTAAAATCAATAGGGATAAAAAATGTATCAAATTGTAATTTTTTATGTAAAAGTATGTAAATTGTGATTATTAATTTGTTTTATACAACTCACATGTAAGGAGGGGGGTAAATAAATACGTTAAAGTTGATTAGGTGCCACATTTTTTATTTTGCCTAAGTCTTCAAAACATCTAAATCATTTCCTGTTTAGAGATAATAAAAGGAACACGCACCCGACTTGTAGGTTAAGAAATCTTCGTAGACTCGCATCGTGGCCACATATGGACCGTGTTTCCTCAACATTTTTCTTGCCGTACATCCGGTGAACGTATACGTTTTCCGAGCTGTTGGGTTAGGTTATTAAAAATTATTGAATTATTGAATTAAAAACAAAACAAATAATCATGTTGCGTAACGCTGCGCACAGCTTAACGAACCGCCGTTACGTATGTCTGTACCTTTGATGATGTCGTTCAAGTAAGAGCCCTTGTACTGGGAATTGTAGCAACTCAGATCGCATTTCGGAGTCTTTGGTCGCTCTTGGCTCGCGTTACCGCACAGACCACGGGGTCCCATCACCGTGCTCGCGTGTTCCGTAGTCGACAAGTTACATGGTGGCATGAGCCACGGTTGACAACCCTGTATTCGACCATACGACCCCGAGGGTAATAATTGCAGTTATAACTGTTAAATTGTTTATTTTTCTATTCTACAAATGGTATAAGATTTTAGCGTATATCAAAAATGTATAGGTAATAGTTGAAATTACATAAAGGGATAAATATTATATTGTTATAATATATATATTAATAATAACATTGGCGTAAAACAGTATTCAATTACAATGTTAGAATTTAAGGCAAAATGTTTACATTATCATTATATTCATATTTATATATATATTGATATTTTTGAACGACTCTCGGCCAATGGTTCCTGAGAGAATTAAAATTATTGTTATAGCGATTGTCATCAAGTTGACATGACATCAACAATAAGATGATTATATCATTAAAAAGCTACAGCAATTGTACAGCTGAGTTTTTATTTAAAAAATTACACTACTATAATATACAAGAGGATAGGTTCGCAGTTCAGAATAGATTTGCGCGTAGCTGCAATATAATTTATATTACCTCATCACTTCCGTAATCTCCTCCAGTGACAATTCCTCTTTTCTTCACGTATTGCCATGCGGCCGCGGTATATCCCCCGTTGCATCCATTACCGCAATCTTCGCAACAGGATATCAGTTTTTGTGCCGAATAAAGTTCTTTTATTTTACCTTGGGATGCGATGCATATACGATCGTTCATTACTGATGTGACGGATATCGCCTAAGAGTTTATTATGATGTAATGCAAATGTGTATATTTATAATATTGTTAAATTAAAAACTATATACTATTGATCTTTTTTTATCTAACAGGCTGAAGCTCCCCTCCCCCCATTGTCCATATTTATTATAATATATTTTTATATTTACCCACTGCTGAAGATAATACCTATATTAAAATCACGGTTATATATGTGTGGATAACCATGCTTAAAATTGTAATCATGTATTTATTTAATTATTGCAATTTACAACCATAGTTCATAGTATCTATGAATAAAAATGAACTGATGTTAACAACAATCAAAGCATCGTTAAATTATTTTTTCAGCTATATCAGACAGATCATTTTCAACATTTAAACATTGAAAAATCGTGTTGGAGGAACGTTATAATGAATTAGTTAAAGCAAATATCAACAGAAAAGAAGAACTTACCGAATTTGAAGTTCTACAACAATTTTCAAAATCCTCACCTAAGCGTTTACAATTGTTAGATTGAATAAAAAAAATTTAATTGTATCGCCATTATTTTTGTAATTATATTTTTATGTTTGTATTTTTCATATATATTTAATATTTTACATAAGTAAGAACTAAGAAAGTACTTTCTTAATTTTTTAAACTTAATCTTGTGACAGTTGAGAAATAATTTATTTTCAAGCCTCCATTAAAAAATCCTGTGTACACCACTCCTTGAAAATAATGTAAAATTAACAGCATTGAAAAACTAATATTACATCTACTATTACTTTAAAATAAATAAAACTTGAATCATTTCCTTGGTTTTATGACATAATACGAGGAATTGATATGATTTATTAAACCCTTTTATAAGCTCAATTATTGGAATTTATTTATATTTTGTTTCAGGGGCCATTCACTCCACATTTATACCATCAGGTTATGACAATGATCTACAAAAGATTTGTTAATACTTGTGATTTTAAAATCATTCTATTGGTTCTTGAATTAATTTTTTTTAATTCTTAAAACACTCGAGATATTTTATTTTTTCATACATAGAGTAGATTTTTTTTAAAAATTATGTCTCAAATTAAGACGTATATGATCAGTTTTTATCCGAACAATGTGGACATAATTAGTACATAATTTTGTTCATTATCGACTGTTGTAACACGATAATTTACTGAAAAAGAGATAATAAAGTGAATACGATATTAATGGTAATAATATTTTACTAAATTTTCACAATGCTTGTCCACTATTTGTGAATCGATTGCGTATATGTAATATTATACGATTTGAAAGTAAATATTTTATCAGAATTTTTTTACGTAAGTAGAAACCAGAACCATTTTTCCATAACAATGTTTTATAAACATTTGCAGTATTTAAATTAATTAGGGATAGACATAAAGTCTGAGGATCTGAATTTTCTGAAAAACTGGATATTCAATTCTGAATTCGAATCAAACTCTTATCCGGATCTGCCAAAGTATCCGGATTATCCATATTTATAGATTTACTTTTGATGTAACTTATAATTATTTTTGTTTCCTAGTTATTTTTATTGTAATTAAAATTATTATGTTATATGAATTTTAGTATACTTATGATTTCAATAGTTTTATAATTAATTATTAGTTTATTTCATAACTATGACTTACAGTGATATTATGACTGAATACCTAAATTACTTATATTAACTGCAAAAATTAAATTAAATTTATGTGAGTATGAAAATGAGTCATTGAACAGCAAAATGTAATTGAATAATCTAGATAACTCATGAAATCTTATATGTTATCGTATGATAAACCTACTCATGTTCCTTGTGCATTACCACGCGTTTGTCGGGACAGCAGTATCTGATTGATGAAAACCTTATGACATTTACATACCCAATCGGCCGCACAATCTCCTTGGTTCCAGATGTGCGAGATGGATGTGCAATTGAACCAGTGGTACCTGGAGTCGAACGTTTCTTGTATATTGGATTCATTATCTTCGCGTTCGGTGTCGCAGTCGTGTGCGTTCGCGCCGTCGCCAAATACGTCGCTATCGTACGGATCTAATACTGGCCCATTTAAGTTTTGGTAATGAAACGTTCCCACTAGTTTCTTGTAATCGTTCGTATGAAAATTATTGATTCCAGCCTAAATGTCAATGATAACATAGAATAAAGTTAGATATAATAATGATAGTTTAATATTAACGTAAAAAAATAATTTGTATGTTTTGAAGCGTTATTTATCATAAAATTCTAATTATGGTATGCAATAGCAATCGCAAGTTATCTATCTTGATTGTTGTCAAATAGGAAATATTAGCGATTTAATGCGTTCGATTTTCTCCAACGAAGTTTTTTTCTAAAATTGCGGTTTGTTATACATTTGACGTAAGAAACCGATTGTTTTCTGGTTAGTACGTGTCTAGATAAAGGTATTAATTAGAAGGCAGTGCGGTTCTATTATTGAATATAAATAATATTTTAATGATGTAAATTATGTATCCTGAGATAACACGGCAATCGTGACGCCCAATGAAAACCCAGCTATAGTGTCTAGTATGATCCAAAGAAATCTTAATATTACTCACTTATGAACTATGCACTAATAAATCAGGATTATAAGATCCAAGTCTTCTCATATCGCATTTACCTTGAGAAATGAAACGTGTCCCTAAGTAAAACTGAATAACATTCCAATGTTTGCTCTGAATTCAAGCGCTTTGAACTTATTAGACAAAAAACTGACGTGAAATCTCCATATAACAATTAAAAGTAAAGCATAAAAAATCTGTCTCCGTCTACTTAAATCTCTTTTGTGGTCTAAAATGAACATTTAAACTATAGGGTGCATCCCAAAAGTCATGAAATATATTTTTTGTTGAGCCTCTACAGGTCGTGACATGTTTGGACTGGTTGGAAATTGTGTAGGAAACTATCACCTTCACAGTGCACCAAACGTCAATCTGTACTGAGCATCGGTTGCGTCAGTGTCACTGATTAAGTACACCCGTCTTTTGAGACTACGTCACGACGAAAATGGAAAATACTTTGGAAATCAACGTTAGGCGATCAAATTCTGCACAAAACTTGACAAAAAACTGCTGAAACTTGCGAATTACTTAGGCAAGTCTACGGGAAGTCTGCTCTATCGTATGCGCAAGTTACAAGATGGGTGAAAAAGTTTAAGGAGGACCAGAAAGGGGTGGAAGATGACCACTACTCTAGACGGTCCTCAACCAGCCAAATTGATGAAAATGGGAGTCGTGTATGTGATTTGTTGAATCTAATCGTCGAGTGAGTGTTAGGTAGGACACTCTGAACATTTCAAAAACTGAGAAAAAAGGTCATCCACATGTGAATAGACATTGCAGCTTTCTGGGTGTTGCATCACGACAAGCGCCCAGCCACACGTCTCTGCGTGTCCGTGAGTTCTTAGCAAAGAACAACGTGGAAACGTTACCGCAGCCACTCTAGTCCTAACCTAGTTCCGATCTACTTCTTTTTGTTCTCGAGGGTCAAGACCGCACTCAAAACACCATTTTGACAACATTGAAGCTATCCAAGCGGCCATGATGATAGCTTTAAGAGAGATTCCCTGCGAGGCCTTCCAGTGGGCGTACCGAACATGGGAGAGTCAGTGAAAAAAGAGTATAGATGCTCATGGACAATACTTTAAAAATTATTAATACAATATATACCTATATACCTATAATGTTAATAAATCATTAATAAAATATATATATTTCATGACTTTTGGGACGCACCCTGTAAATTATGAATTATTAAACTATTATAGATATATGGCATCAAACTATGGGGAGTCGTACGACCTTTCAACACAAGAAATATACAAGCCTTCCAATCCATATCTCTCCGTCTTCTTTCCTCTTTATCTTGGTACATAACTAACGATAAGCTTCACAAATATCTTAAAGTTCTTACGTTGAATCAAGTCTCTAAAATATACTACTATAGATTTCATAATAATTTCCAACCTCACATTGACCCCTTAATCTCTAAATTTACAACAAATATACTACCCGATAAGTCTAGACAAAGACTAAAGAAAAAATAGTGAAGTACCAATTGCTTTAGTATATCTAAATAATTAATACACGTACTGTATGTTACTACTGGGTAATTTTGCAATTTATATTAATCACTGTTAATTTTAAATTATTCGTTTATCTAATCTACTAATTTTATTAAAATTGGTGTTGAGATTATAGGTTTTCTCTTTTAACAAAAAAAAAATTAAAAAAAATATGTGAACTGTTGACTATATTTTTGCTTAGTCCCATTAAAAACTGCATGGGGATGATTAACGTGCTAAATGTTTGAACATTATAAAAAACTGTTATTAAAAATACGTGAAAAACAATAAATATGAGTATTTCTTGATGCAGTTATATTTCTCTATTGCAGGTAGAAATGTATAATTGTTTCGACTATACTTTGTTAATCTTGATATTTTAAGACCACAGATAATAGTAAGAACGTCCGTCGTAGTCCCGGGCGCAATTATTTTTACCTAAATTTGATTGTGGGTAGTTTACTCTTTTAAGCCCCTAGTTAGCTTAGGTTACAATATCAAATATAATTTTTTTTTTTTAGACGTTCTTCAAAATACTGAACCACGGGTGAAAATAATGCAATTATTATTGGACGAAAAGGGGAAATTACTTAATATTTGGGCGTAAAAAATTAATGTCATTTTCAGATGAAAAATTACCGCGGTCTCGATTCCTTACCTTCCACGTTATATTGGCGCTATTGACGTGGGTGATGATTTTGTGCAATTTCTGATCTGCGTCGCACGTTATCCATAAGCTGGAAACAAATAATAACGAGACAACACAATTCATCTTGACCGGTGGGACTAGACTTGGTGCTAGTACACTCATTATATCGTGAACTGAAGATATCGTTACCGCAGGAGTTGCCAATGTCATGTATATTGCACTCCATGGTTGAATCGGTACTCGAGTACTTGGTAAATGATATTCTACGATAAAAGGTTCGCTATTGTTGATAAAAAACTTAAAACTACTGATCGAAGTCGTCATGTGATTGATGTCTGAATGTGTTCAGTTATTGTTTTTATACACCCACTCGAAGAAAAATTCATTTAACACGGTGTAATTACCATTAATTACCATTACCTAGAGATAATAATCCGCTGAAGCATATATCTAATATCTCTCATATGTAATGTAAAAATCACCCAAAAAAGTACGAGTGTGTACATATCATCAAGTATTTAAATCTCAACGGGCACTCGAACGCAACGTTCTTTTATAATCTACGAGTTAATCTACGTATAATTACTAGTTGACGTTATTAAATATTATTATATATTATATTTATTTATATATTCATGTACATATATTATGCTGTGTTATAGTCAAGGGCGTATTTGGAGGGAGATCCAGGGTGTCTGGACCCCCACAATATTTTTTCAATATTTTAAGAATGTTTAAAATACTTATTTATTTTTAACAACAACATAAATATTTTCAGTCAAAATTTATTTAAGCTCCAATTAATCATTGGCTGCTTTTAATTTTATATCATAATATCATATGAAAATATGATATTCATTTTAATAAAAGAAGATTAAATCTTTTTCTGTCTTATTTTTAACCAAATATCAAAAGTTAAAATCTAAATTCAATAAAATTACAATATACATGTTTTGGACCCCTCCCAAAAAAATTTCTAGATACGGCCTTGTTTGTAGTAATTGTTTATTTGGATATGTACGAATTTCTAATAATACAAAAAAAATTTATAATAATATTATTAAAAGATTTTATCTTGTATATTTCATAAATAGAGGTATTTAACCCTACTACAATAATTTTTTGTTCAAATCAACAGTTATCAGATCAACATAAACATTTCAAGTTTTAATTTAATTCACCACGTTATGAAATTAAAAACAACATACAAAATAGCATAGTAACAAATATTTTTCCACGTAAATCAAATCTAATGAAACCAAATGAAACCATATTATCTAAATTATCTATTCGACCAAAAAAGTATTATACTGTTTACAGTGGTAATCCTGCATACATGCTCTCTTCGATATAACATTCGTTCGCACCTCGACGGATTTTGAAAAGACCATTTTCACCCCAGTACGTATTGAACGAATTGATCGCCAACCAGTATGGTGTTCCGTTCTCTTCTCCCCAGCCTATAATTTTAACTGCTTGGACGGTTATAAATTTTCCGGTCTTGTACGAATACACTCCTTGAACACAGAATAAAATTCGTGTTAAAATAATAATGATTTAATAACATTGTTAGCACGTCTTATTACCCGATTTATAATCCATAAAATCATGAAACATGTAGAACGACGCTGTTATGGGACCTTTTTCGTAGATTTCTTTCATCGCCATGTATCCCGGCACTTGATAATAAGAACCTGTTAAACATAGCAATGTATGATGATATAAGAGTGCCAAAAAAAAAAGTGATATAGGAATAATCTTTAATTTTTATTAAAGCCTGATTGAACTATTATGTATATGTGTTATAAAAACGAGTTTTAAGTTGTCAGTCGGTAATCAAGTGGGAAAGTCATTTGTGTTTGATAAAATTTTTATTTATGTAAGAATTTACATAAAAATAATATATAAAAAAAAAATAATAAAAAAAAAATAATTATAATTACTAATATTATTATTGTAATATATTATATATTATTATTTGTTATTATTATTAATTATTTTAATTATAAAAGATGTATTTTTTTTTCATGTCAGGACTTGCGAATGGATACCCATGGATCATTTGTACTTGTCATACGTCATGTAGGAATTCATATTCTCGCGATGATGTACAGCGGTGGAGTACGCGAAATAACCGAAGTCCTCTACGGGTCATCGGATGATGAAATCGACGCACTCGGTTCGTGTTATTATTATAATTGGCTATCGCAGAGATCGTCAAAAATTGGTGGTTAAACCCTTACTATTCGCCTCACGGAACAATGAAATTAATATTAAAATAATACTTAGGAACGCCCCTTACGTAGATATACCTACTATTGCTTGTGTAATACCAGGGATAATACCAGCTATCACTTGCGACTACCCGATAGTAAATTTTTCATCAAAAAATTATGTTATATTTATTGTATATACCTCGATGGTTGTCTTTTACGTATCTGGTCCCAAATTTTTGGTTATAACACGATACCTTGCACTCGGGCGTGTATAGTGTTTTATTCGAGCATGCATTTTCCATCGCGTTCTCCTCGTGTTGACAAGGTTCAATCGTATACGGCTGGCATCCCTATAACAAAGTAAGGTTAGGTTAATTATATTATGCAATAATAATGCATTAATCTAGAGAATACATAATAATAAAAATATATTTTTAATTTTAATGTAGATTCTATGAAGGATATTACAATTTTTTTAATAAAAAAAATGATTGTTAAATAGGTGGCCCTCGTTATTAGTGGTGATTAGAATTATTTATAATACAATTTTATGTAAATGTATTTGGTATGTACAAAATATGTACGATAAGCAATTCTCTAGAAAAGAACCTAATTATATAAAAGCTTTTAAAAATGTTGTCTATTCTAACTGTGTTTACGGCGAGTATGGAACGTTATTTTTTTAACTTTAAAGTACTTAAAGACGTATTTAAAAAATATTATGTCAAGAGCAAATAACCTGTTTGGACTTGTTAATATATACAAATACGTCATTGAAGAGCTAATATGACTTGTGAATATTCTAGCCTAACGTAGACAAAGATTAAATTCAATAATATACTATTTAAAAGCTTCTAGAATCTTGACCATGTTAAACTTATAAATAATAAAGATCCTTAATTAATATATTTGTATATGCTGCAAAATTTACCTACAGTTGGTTAATTCTTAATTCACTCTTTTTCTAGATATTTAATAATCGGAACTTCTACCCCATAAATAATCTCCTGTATTTCTACGCCCATGAGTTTCGACTGTCGATGATAAAGTAGGCAAATGGATTTTCATCTAACTCTGCTAAAATATACGTGTTTTGATATTAAGAAATAATTATACTTGTAAGTAACACCATCGTCCAAAATGAGTAGGAACCTGAAGATGAAGAAGAAGAAATCTGTAATAATGTATACATATCGGTATACCGATATGTACGAGTATATATCGAGATATATATATATATATATATATATACAGTGTAGTAGCCAAGGGGGGGCTAAGGGGGCTATATCCCCCCATGGGCCGTGTTTATATGTATAATGTATCTTGACTATTTAATAGAATCAATCGTTTTAATCAAAGGCTTATTGATGTTATGCCACTTTAAATATGTATGACGATAAAAATATTATAAAAGCTGCTAAAATATATGTCCAAGATCTCCATGATGATACCTCATCTACAATCAGAGCTGACCTGTTCATATGGAGGCAACAATGGAGTCAAAATACTATTCCAAAACCAAATTCTGCTCTTGATTCACTCTCTCATCGCACCAATCTTCGACCTAACATTAAAATACTTTTACAATTATTCGCCACGTTACCAGTTACCTTTTCATTCCGGAAAGAACGTTTTCAGCACTTAATCGCTTAAAAATTTTTTTAAGAAGCACCATGTCGGAAAACAGACTGAATGGGTTAGCTATGACTAATATAAATAAAAAAGAGCAATTCGATGAAAGTGAAATAATAACTGAATTTGCCAGAAATTCGCCTAAGAGGATGCATCTGTCAGAGTGGAGCAAGTGACTGAACACTGAAACCAAAATTATTATTATTATTATAAACTATATATTAATAAATATTTTTAAAATTATACTAAAATGCTTGAATTACGTTTAGAAACTTGGTGGTAGATGGTGGGGGGGGGGTTAAGTGTGAATTCTCATATCCTCTCTTACCTTACTTATCAAAAAAAGTGGTTAGCCCCCTCCATTTAAAAATCCTGGCTACGCCACTGTATATATATATATATATATATATATATGTATATTACTAAAACAACAGTCTAAAAATAATCGCAATTTAAATTATTTTTATTTTTCATTTGCCACTGAAATCTGCAGTCAACTTGTTAAATATTTGGCTCGTGTGTCGTAGGTCGACCATCCCCACCTCTAGTCCGTAACTTATTATATACTCATATATATTATTGCCTACGTTACAACAACGTTATTTTGTTTAATTTATTGTGACTTTAGTTATATGTTTTGTTAAGCTAAAGTACAGAATTGTTATTATGTTATTGGATTTATGTCTATAATAAATAAATAAAAATAATAGTATGATCTTGTTACTATTACGAGTTTGCAGTTGTAAGGTATTAACTCTAACGAGTCGAACTACAACAGGAATTCTGTCATTATTAAAAATTAAATCAACTTGTTCTCAAAATAATAATAAAATTTTCACTTGGAACAATGCACGTGTATTATAATATTATTATCGCAATAATAAGCAGGAGGAGGAGGAAGAAGAGGAGTAGCAGAACAAAATTCTTTATTCGCGCATTACATAGTAAACGGCAGGACAAAAATCTGTTTACCGTGTATCACTTATAACTTCCTATCCTGTATGAAATAACACATTAAAACGGTACAAACGATAGACCTCCCCAACACATGTTACACGGTGTGTTATTGTCAGTTCTCATCAATCGCAGGAGTTTAATTCCTGTTCTCAGTATTAAATGTTTTATTATTTTTGCATCGAACCTGGGTCATGGTGGTTTTATTGAAAAACCTTACCAAAGTCCGTTGTACATATATAATGTTATCATGGACACCCTTCTTACCTCGTCCGAACCGTAACCACCTCCGGACACGAAGCCATGTCTCCTGTAGAAGTCCCATGACTCGTAATGACGTCCACCGTTGCAACCACTTCCGCAAATGTAACAGCAGGCCAATATGTGTTGAGCTGAGAGTTTTGGTTTCTCCAACCCATCTGAATGGATGCAAATCCGGTCGCTCACAGCAGACGCCACAGAAATGGCATAGCTCGACTTACAGTTGCCTTGGTCATAAACCTGACCGATGGACGGACACTTGTACCATTTTTTCCGTGCGTCAAACTCTGTTGGTAGACCCAGTGGATCCCAAAAACCACCGTTGATATCCTGTAATTTAAATACGGGAAACATGGAGTCGGTTATACGGCTCAAGGGTTTCCCAACCAAGTTATACTTTGAGTGTAGCCTGCTGAGTGGTTTTTATAATTTTTCATTTATTTATATTTGAGATGTACGGTGCGGTAGGCTGTGCATGAAAAAGCCATGTTTGCGATTGCGTATTTTATTTTTATTTTTAAAGCAACATCGTTTCTTTTAACATTTCAATAAATTTTTGTGGCCTCCGAAAACAACTACAAAATTAGGCCAGTTTCCTCACGACCCAATGTTTAATAAGTACACGTGCACGAACTTAATTATCGACTGTATCAATCACAAATATTTCATAATTTATGGGACAAATGACTAGTTTAGTTGCATGCGAAAGAAAACATTACCAAGTATGTACGTTTAATTTGTTTACTAAAAATAATATAAATAATTGGTTTTTTTCGTACACGAGCATTTAGTTATTTCTGACCAAAGCGACCCCTTAATTGAGAAACGATAATATTCATAAATACCTATGTAGTGCATAATATATGATGTGCGAAAATATCCCACGCAATTTTTAATATCGTATCTGTTGACGCTTTCTACGTAAACCCACGAATTTATTTTGTTTCTATAATATTTACCGACCTTTGATCGAGTTTTCTTATTGCCCGAAGAGTCCACGCTCATGTGAGCGGACGATGCGCTACGTTGACTGATAGAGATCATGCACAGTGACAATATCGAAAAATCTACGACGGACATATTGTCGTATAAATGTTATCAACTGAAGTAATCAACCAGACGCAATGTGGAATCGCGTTCATAAACGGTATTGAAACGTATGGCACTTGATCCGTGCCATCGGTTAACGGCGGTTATGAAAGTAGGCATGTCCTTAAACGAATATTGTACCGATAACACGTAATAAGTTCTTAAAGATTTAGATTGAAAAATAATATCTAAACTCTAACATTTCATCATTTTTCGTCCTCCACTTTCGAAAATTAAAAGTGTTTCATACTTGAAACCAAGGTATCATTATCTTCTATCCGTTGCTCATAGATACTGTTGAAGTAAAACGATTATAGATACTTTTATATTATCTATTTTTTTGAGTTTATAGTTATAGATTTATATTTTTTATAAATATATACAGAGTGTTCCTAAAATGAAAACTAGGGAACTAGCGTATAATAGTACTCTCTGGAGTGGTTAAATGAAAAATGTTTTGATATTTTTTTTTCTATCTTTAAAACCCGGGTTTTATATAATTATCTTTAGAATATTATTTCGAATTTAAAAATGAATACTTGTTACACAATTTTTGTAAATTTCTCATGTGAATTGATATGTGATATTAATTTTGGGCTTGTCAACTATTTTTCACGACCGAGTCGCCAGGATCAGAAAATGTGTATCGATTTGTTTGAGAACTTTGCAAAATAAAATATGATGAAATGTATTGGTTTTTATTTCACATATCTGATTAATTAACATGGTTTTTATTGAATTTCAAATTAATTTTGTTTCATTATGATTATTTTACAATAAAAAACCGTGGTAATTAATCAGATATGTGAAATAAAATAAATACATTTCACTTTTGTTTATCTTGCAGAGTTTTCATACAAATCGATATGTCTCATCACATCACATCTTTTGATCTTGACAATTCGAGCATGAAAAACGCGGGACAAGCCTAAAATTGATATCACATATCGATTTACGAGAGAAATTTGCAAGAAATATCTAATTAGTATTAATTTTCAGATTCTAAATAATGTTCTAAAGATAATTATATAAAATCCCGGTTTTAAAGATAGAAAAAAAATTTCAAAACATTCTTCATTTGGCCACTCCGTAGAGTACGCGTATACTAGTTTTCTCAACTCAGAAACTCTTTATAAACCAAGTTATTTAAGCATAAAAAAAATCATCTTCAAAAAATTTATGAATGTTAATTTAGATAAAAATGATCAATAGATATTTTGTTTTTCTCAAGCTACACTTGACTCGAATCGACTGGATCGAACCATCGAAAAATATTCAGCTCGAATTTTTTCGGATATAGCTGTATTCATTGTCCCGGAATTTTCATTCCAAATTATAATAGTTAAACTAAAGATTATATTGAGTTGTGATAATAATGATAAGATACAACGTATTATGTTTTATGTAATAATTGTTCGACAGTTGACGAATGTATTGCACAATATGCAGTTGTATAGATATATTGTATTAATAATATTTTATGTTAAATTATATTAAAAAATATGGAATATAATAGCTCTTCAGATAATGAATGGGGTTCTTTTTTATTAGAGAGCTTCATTATTAAATCTCAGAAAAATATTGAGTATATAAACTTTGGTAACAACTTGATGATAATGCCAAATTCTTAAACGCTATTATAAAAAATTAATGATCAAAATTGTATGATTACTTTTGTATGGATGTATATATATCTACGTTTGACTATATTTTAAATGTTATCGAAGATGATTTAACCAGATATTTATGTTTTAGACTATATTATATCGCCAATTTCGATTGAAATATCAATATGTATACCTACTCGTATATTAGATGAAAACGATGGCCTAAACGATAACTCGATTTTGTAGTGAGTACTTAAATTTTTTTATTTAACTGATTCAAATGTTAATCCTAATCAAAATCCTAATCGGATTTTTAATGTGAATTTATGCTTTTAGTAACTTAGTTAACGTTATGGTATAAATACACCAGCTTTTGCGGCAACTGTCGAATAATAACGTCAAGTGTAATTCGAGTTTGGATAGATGATCATCATTTGGGAATATCAAGGAACACGTGTATATTTTTTTTTCAAATGTTATTGCTAGGTTCTTATTTACATTCCTAAATTATACCACCAAGTTTTATTTTTGCAACACGATGTTTAAATAATTGTTATCGATATCTATTTGAACATGATTGACGAACCAAGTATTTGAAATCCTATTATACATTAGAGAATAATGCGTGTTTTTTTTTATCTGTAGACTGTCTGCAGCAAAATATTACATATTGTTACTTAAACGCGTTTCGAAATTTTCAACAGTATCATCATTGATTATAAATAGTACAATACTATTTGTAATCAACAGTAATGATTAGGTTAATGATTAGGTCGTAACTGTGCACTCGCTGAGCACCGATCGGTACACGGCCATTATGACCATTTAGAATTATCTACGTATTCAATTGTGACGTGTTCGCCCATATCATTATTTTACACCACCATGGTCGTACATGTTGAACAGCACGAATACATAATTAAATGCTATCAATAATAAGACCTAGGAGTGAATAGCGAAATACTCGGATAATAATTTTATTCCAAGACTATATTAACATTTACGTTCTTGCGCGGATACTGTTCATTATTTTAAAGAACATTTAGAGAATGATACTTTCCTGAGTGTCATCATGTCGCCCGATTTTTCATTTTTTTTTTATCTGAGCGGAGGAGAAAGGATTATATTTAAAGTTTACGGTTTTATAGCTTACCATTTAAATAATTTAACGAGGGTTTTTTTTTTTTTTGGTCGTATTAAATACTCATTCGAGTTATCTATTATTCACAATTTTATTTTATTCCTCATTTCAGTTTTAATCTTGATGGATTACTTTTCTAACGATACAGTAGTTGATAGTGAAGAATCTGTACATTTTCCAACAGAGTTTTTAAATTCACAAACATTCTGGAGTGTCTCCTCATAAAATATCACTAAAGGTGGGAGTTCCAATCATATTATAAGAATTTTGAATACTCCAAGATTATGTTATAAGTCTAGGCTCCGGGACACCTCTTTTACAAAAAAATTAATTAATTATTAATTGAAGCTAACATTTTGATTTGATGTGCTAAAGGGGATATAGATATGGAAAATAGCTGTTTCTCACATGGACAATTGTATGTAGCATTTTCTAGAGTTGGAAGACCTGACTATTTATACGTTTATACACCACAAAATAAAACTCTGAATTTGGTATTCCAAAAGGTTTTGTGTTAAGTCATTTTAGAAATGAATAACACAGCCATAGAATCATTAGTATAATTTATAAATATTATTATTACTATTATAAACCATCCAAAAATCACACAGATAGTATTCCTTTTATGTTTGATAATAAATCAGTTTAATATTAAAGTTATAACACAACATTTGAACTGCTAAACATAAATTTGGTATAGTGTACGTTTGTAAAATGGAGACGATACACTGAGGTTAAAGAGTTTTAAGGCAATAAGATTAAAAAATGTTGACATAATTACTAAGCTTACAAATCATATCTAGATTTAAATTGCATAAATTTATAGTTAATAATGGCTACTTTGATTTGTTGTTTTATATAATCATAATGGTAAACACTTCAACTCTTAAAAGTGTAGATTTACAAGTAAATAAACATACATGTAAATAGATTCAATAACATGTCCTAATATTTTTTATTGTCTAAGATACAATTGCTTTCAAATGTAATATTGAATACATTTTTTATAAAAGTTTGCATAAAGTAAAAAAAAAAAAAAAACATTTTCAATCATTAGTCAGTACTACATTTTCTTTCGTTTGATATATACGGTCTATACTTGAAAATAATTTTAATTTTTGTAACGCTGCTGTACAGGTGTTTCTTAATATATAAAAATATACAATAAATTTACATTTAATCACGTCTATATTAGTAATGATTTAAATAAAACTCGCATTTTAGAATCTTAGATATTTGACGAATCTTATGTGAATATTTCTAAACAAAAATAAAATAGCAGGTACTAATTATGACCTAGGCCTATGGCACTATTGACGAGTGATAGAGCACAACAAATGTATTGATGTAAGTAATTGGAATCGATTGTATAGTTATCGAGTTTTCCCAAAAGGCACGAAAATATTCAAGAGGAGGATCTATGGGTACTAGACCCCATCTCACCGACATTTTTCTATATCTAGCCATACCAATATTTTATAATTTATTATAATCTTAATTTGAAAGGTAACTCAAAATAATAGCTTCTTTAATTTACAACGTCTAAAAACTTCTTATACAATTGTTGATTATGGTTAAAGGTCCTAATTTTGGGCGAAGAATATGTAATTTCTTTTGAGCTATCTCAAAATTATACGTCACATCATTGGTTTGACTTCCAACACAAAAATGTATGGTTCTACTATTCTACCATTCCTCGTACTATCGTTCAATTCTATCTTTTGGTTTCCAACTAAAACCACTTTGCCGTTAGCAATACCGGATTTACGGACAGACAAGATAGGTGGTAGGTGCCTAGAGCGCAATAAATTTCCTCCATCTTTTTTTTATTTTTATTTTAGTAATTTTATTGTACTCATAATTCTCATAAAATTTAGATTTTTAATTTTTGTTTTGTGTCTTGTTAAACACCCAGAAATTCAGTAAATTATATTCTAAAGTCAATCTTAACGTTTGCCGCCATTCCTATTATTCGAGCAGGGCTTATTCTAAAGCGCAGTTGGGCTTATTTTGCGTATTTGGAAAAGGTAGATGCGGACTTGATAATAAACTTTTGCGTAATTGATTTTTAATTCAATGTTGCTTAGTGTTATTTTATACATTACATTATGATTTATAAACAAAGTAAAAAGGAAATTTATTATAAAATATTAAAAAAAATACTTTGAACACGAATGTAAATTGTTTTATATCTTTTAAATACATTACATTTTAAATTACTTCATATAGAAGCTACATTTTATCATTTTTAACTATAATTTGACAGTATATTTTGAGATCATAGTTCTATTTTGATAGGCTTATTTAAACAAAATGTGTAGTTGATAAAAATCCTTAGAATAATCCCTGTATTCGAGTTTGGGTCATTAACTAACGTTAATCATTTTTATAAAAAACTTGACTTACAAACGTTTTTTATAAGAAAAATCTCACAGAAATAAACTCAAATATTGAAATTATGTTGCATATGTTTATACTCGTATTAAAGGCTGTTAACAATTATTTAGCAGAACAATATTTTTCATGCTTGAAGAAAGCAAAATATTTCTTATGTTCTACTATATATATATCAAGATAAAATGAATTCACTAGCCATAATTAATATTGAAAACAAAATTACTCGGCAGATATCGTTTGATGAAATAATAGATAATTTAGTTTCTGAAAAATACAACGTATTTTAAATTTGGATGCTTCAAACTTATTTAGTTTTATTTTTACTATTGTTTAATATTTTGACATTTTTGGTTGATTGTACATAATATTTGACTTTAATTTTTGATGTGATTATTGATTATAATTATTTATATTGAGAACTTTATTTATGTTTTTATTAAATAAATAAAAGAAACAAATCGTGAGGCTATTAATAGGGGAAGATAAATAGGCACAACTAGAATACAAATAATTTACAGATTATATATTTTATATTATATATTTTTAACACGATCTTGAAGGATCTAGTTGATGGATCCTCGACCATTTATTATTTAGCATTGAAGGTGCATGTTCAGAAGAGGCGCAAAAATTCCAAATATGACACTGGTCGTTACCCTGATAGTATACTCAAACCTTATGTGAAAAAAATATAATCATAGGCGTGCGCACGGGGGTGGCCGGGTGGCCCCTCCCCTGTGGACTCTGGCTTTTTCTTTAATAAATGTATATCTATACTATACAAGATAGCGAACATTTTTACATTTTACATGAATAAAGTAAAGCCAGTTTTAATCTTATAATATAGAATTGATATCTGTGAATAAATTTAATAAAGTTATTAGTTATTAATCAGACTAATCAGAACTTGCATACAATATAAAAATTGAAGATGTAATTGATACATTCAAAAACCTTACTCTAGTAGACAGAAGGATGGAGTTGTAAATAGTATAATAATATGTAAATAAGGATTTCTTAGATATAAATTGTGTAAGTTTAAATAGTATTTATTTTTATATTTGCATATTAACCCGCCATTTCCAAATCCGGTTTGGATCTTCTGTCTCGAGAATTGAAAACATTTTCGCTGGTGTCCCTCAGGGTGGAATCCTCTCACCCATTTTATTCAATATTTACACATCAAACCAGCCTGTCTCTCAAAATACTATAGTAACCGATTACGCGGATGACAAAGCTATAATCTCAATCGACAAAAACCCCCAAATTGCATCTTCGAACCTTCAAATTCATCTGAATTTATTGTCAGAATGGTACACGAAATGGCGAATTAAACCAAATCAAAATAAGTCAGTACATACAACATTCACTTTATGTCACTCCTTCTGTCCAAACGTCTCTTTAAATAATGTTCCGATTCCAAAGTCTAACACAGTTAGATACCTAGGACTCAATTTAGATAAACGTCTTACTTGGAATGCCCACATCCGTATCAAAAGACTTGCCTTAAATGCCCGATTCCGCAATCTACGTCCCTTGCTTACAAATAATAAACACTCTAAACTAAAAGTTCTTATGCATAAAACACTATTAAAACCAATGTGGACCTACGGTCTACAATTGTGGGGTACTGCTAAAGTATCTAATACTAACAAAATCCAACAGTTCCAGAATATTGCTCTTAGAAAAATTACAAATGCTCCACCTTTTGTGTCCAATTATACCTTACATAAAGACCTCACAATGAAAACTGTAACAGAAGAAGCTATAGATTTCTACAAACACTTTCATAATCGCCTATAAACCAACCAAAATCCATTGATAAAGAGCCTCTACACTCAAACCATACCGGGAAACCACCGGCGTCGTTTAAAAAGGAACGGGTGCCGTGACTTGTTATAAATAAAAAAAAAAAAAAAAAACGAAGTTCTAGACTCTAGACAGCGTTATTCCCAGCCAAGGGTCACCAATGGGTGATTTATTAATTCAAAATAATCATGTTACTATTATAATATCATATATTCTTATTGTGCTATGTTGTATAGATTGTGTATTTCAAATTGTAAAATAAAAAAATAAAAAAATATTTACATATTGAATTAAAGAAATAATTTATAAAATTTAAAATATTTAATTATACTAGTAGTCTTTAGTGCAAGAATCTTTGTTTCAATTTTTTTAAAGAGCTCCCCCTGCGGACAAAGTCTGCGTACGCCTATGAATATAATACATAGTATCGTACTTACAGTAATATCACAAATTACATTAATATAAACTATAGATAAAAGTATGTAAGTATAAAAGCATCAACAAACATATTTATAGATATTTTTTATTAGAAATAAATGTACAATTTTATTAATATTAAAAGCTAAGTATAATTTAATAAAATGTTTAATGCAAAGGCAATATTAAAATATAATACATTTATATTTTATATTTATAATACAATTATACTTCAATTTGACGAATACGATCATCATGATTACTTTTCAAGATATTAGTAATTATTTCAAGAAAATGTAATCGAACTGAAGATTGATTAAATATTTCTAAAAGCTCTGCCAAATGTATATTCCGATTTAACAATTTTTTAATTCCTTCCCATAACAATGTACACATATTTTGAATAAGGGAAAAATTTAATTGTTGTATAACTTGCTTTAAAATTACGATCGCATATCCAATGTATGTACTAATTTGACCTGCTATTATTCCTCCTAAATATAGAACCAATCATAATGTATAATTAATAATAATATATTTAAGTTATAATAACAATATATGTTGTTAGTTAGATTTTTTTTTTTTTGAGTTACAAAATATTTTATATCAAAGAAATGCATTAATTAGTACAAATAAACATACACACAATTTGAATATAAAATTGGGAGTTACAAAAAAAAAGCTTTAAAAATATTTCTATGGAAATTAATAAAATATTGAACAGCCTAAAATTAAATTCCTCTGTAACTAATTTTGCATTGAATACAATCTTAGTATTTTGTAGTGCTTTACTGTAAACTTACCCTAAATTATAGTTAAATATTTATTTTGTAATTATTTACATTAGAATTTTATGTCATAAATAAAATTAAAAATTAGTCACCATTTAAGAAGTGTTGATATAAAAATGTTATTTTGTTGAAAATTAGTAACAAATATAAAAATAATTTCAATCATGCTGTCAAAAGTTTTTATTTGCTTATTAAATATATTAAATATTTAAGTACTTACCAATAATTATTCCTACTTGACCATAAGTTATTCCTCCAACAAAAGTACATGTACCAACAAAAATACCCTGAATTAAACCTGAGTACCATTGAAAATTCACATCATCGTACATCCTAAACAAAATTTCCACCACACCGCTGAAAATGGCATTTGCAGTAGGAGATGAAATAATATCCCACATAATGACTTTTTATTTATACTACAAAATAACATAAGATATAATACATGTTGAAAAACTATAATATAACAGTATTAAATTATTTTCAGCAAAAAAATTTAAGTACCTAGGTAGGCATTTATGTCATAACTCATGTCATTAACAATCTATTAACTAACAGTAACTATTGTACACTTGTAAAAAAAGTATTACAAAATATAGTTTATAATTTATTAAAGAAAATAAATTAAAATAGTATGTACACAAGTGGACTGTAAAAATGTGGAGGTCTTATTAATTTATAAGTAAAACCCATAAAGAGAAAAAAAATAAAATGCTAAAAGTATTAAAAAAAATGTATTTTTCAAATAATCAACTATGACACTATAACTGCTAAGTGTTTTATGTAAAAATCATTCAAGATTTGTATACACTTTTTAAAATAAACAATTATTCTGTAGCTTATTATTTAAATTAGAGAATTTATTATTCGACAGTTACATTTCACAGAAAACTTTAATGTGTAATATTGAAGAGGATACAGTTTACTGAAAACGTCATGTACTTGTTAAAAACCGTAAAAAAATAAATATAAATTCAAGTATATTAGCTGGCAAGTGAAGATAATTAGAGCTAACTTTAAATTGTATATTCACTGGCAGATACATACAATGTAGTCATAGTCAATTGTCATGAAAGTAGTGGGATGACATTCCACTAATTTTTTTCTTCAAGATTATTCATGTCTCTAGAAAAATTATAATATTAACTTCGTATTTCATAATATCCAAAATATCTAGGGTAATAGATTTACCAATATAGACATATATTTTTAAAGAGATATAAAAAACAGATCAGATTATTTACAAAAAAAATTGTTCACTTTATTTCTTTCTTTATTTTTCCATAATTAGTTTCGATTTTATTTTTCATATTTAATCGCAATTTTATTAACATTTTATATATCTAATTATGAAGAATTTTTAATTTAAAACTGAAAAATTTTAAACATATAATAATACTATAGGGTAGATTAAGTTATTTATTTATTTATTTTTATCTATACCTATCTATATATACATATATGTATTTTCATACAAAAATAATATAAATCCAGCTTTAGCTTTGTTTAAAATGTTAATATTACAGCTAAAATAAATAAATTTTAACCGCTTTTATCTCTAAATGTTTTAAATTTTTATATTTTAAATTGCTTATTGTTTATTATTGTAAACAATGTAATTATGTCTACCAATTTTTTTAACTGTCTCATATAATACTGTTTGCAAGTAATTTTCTTTAACGAGTTGGGTTTAATAACGTCGAACAAAAAATTAATGATTTAGATCAGGGTGGTCCAACCATTTGTGGTTTGCGCGCCAATTTACACTTTCTTAAACACACCGGGGGCCACCAGAAGAAAAAAAAATTATATTTTGTCTATTTATATTTTATTTTATAATTTTATATTATGCGCACATTATTATATTACAGATTAAGTTACTTAAAATTAAAATAAATTAGAATTTAGAATTAGTTAATTAATAAATGTGATGATTAATATTGTTTTCATTAGCCAAGTTAGGTTACCTGAATAGGTTTAGTTTAGAGAAATATTTAATGCTCGCGATTGTGAATAGAATTCACGCCGTCCATCGCGTCTTATCACGGGAACTCTCGTATCCCCACGTTTTATAGCATAAACGCCATAAACTATAAATATAAAAATGTACAATTTATACGGTCATATCACGATTTTGTTAAAATATTATTGTGACTTTAATTTTTAATTAATAAAATAAATAATTAGTTTAACTGTGGGGGGACCAAAAAAAAAAAAAAAGGCATCAAAGGCCATGGATTGGCCCACCCTGATTTAGATACTGACAGAAGTGCAAACTATTTAGAATTATTTAGGGGGAGAGAGTGAAATAAAAATATTAAATACCTACCTATGAAAAAAAGGGTCACTGTGTTCGCATAATATAAATCACGTAATATAAGTGTACTGATATATGCTTATTGTTATGTATGAAAATTGATCATCGAGAATCGATTAATTTCTCACCTACCTATCAAATTAAGATTGGTAATTTATCCCTAGCTCCCTTAAGTCTAGGCTTTTGGATTCTGTTACATCTAATAGTAAGATTGAAGTTTTAAATGTTCATAATCGAGATTAAGGTATAATTTGTACATAATTGAAATCATATTCATAACGCATGAAGTAGTCTGTTATCAAGGGCGCAGCTAGAAGGCTGCATACGAATTGCATCCCAAATTACGAAAATGTACATCGTGGTATCCGAGTTGAGTCCGTGATTTTCTCGTGAAATGTTCGAGTGGCGTCCCGGTTAACAATTGATTAATTGGTTAATAATATACGTATTTTCCTTCCCACTTTTACAGACTGTGGACTGTCATTTATACAAATGGTATGGTTAAAGAAGTGTACTTTTAAATTTTTATATATTTTAGATATTCTAAAAATATTTACATAAAATTGTATTGTTAAAAAAACTAAAAAAAAAACGTTGTTATTAGATAAGAGGGATCATTTGAATATTTAGAATATAATTAAAAAAATATATTCAGTAAAAATAAAAATTTAAAAAGTTATAAGTATTTTAAATATTGGGTCATATATAATTTAAAATGTTGTTAAAAATTAATATATTTATTAGCTATGGACAGGGGGAATTTCCCCTGTCCCTTCTCACACCTCTTGGATAAGTAATATCAGAGATATTATTTAGATTATTTTTAAGTATTAATTTGAACATGATTAAAATGTTGTCAAAACCAGATTATTATTAAATATTAAACTTCAACATTCTAATAATTTATCAATTTTGTAATTAGAAAAAAAATAATGTTTATGCAAAAATGTTTTAAAAAAATATTCTACCCAAATATGAAGAAAAAAAATGGTGTTGTCATTAAATTTTTTTTAATGACAACACCATTTTTTTTCTTAAGTAAGTTATATTACGAACGCACAAATTTGAATTTTGTCTAGATTTGTGTATTTTGGTACTTACTCCTTTCCATTCCCCACGTACCCCATTTCAATACAAAATAATCCAAATGAAATATTTAGTGGTACTTCTTAGTTTGAACGGACTAAATATATATAGTGATATATTTTTATAAATAAAAAATAAAACCATTGTAAAAATACTTAATATAATAGTCAAACATTTTCATGGTTGATACTATTTTAAAAAATATGCTAGGAAAAATATAAAACGTGTATGAAAATAAATTGGTAATAACTTCTACCAATATGTAGACCAAACAAATATTTTTTATATTTCTCCCAATCGAATAATGATCAGTACAAATCTATCAATAAGACAACAAATGGTAAGAAAATGTGGCCTGAAAATAACTGTTTGACCGGTAAGAATTTTTAAGCCACTCTACCCCCGACACTATTTTGGATTATATGATATTTTTAAAAATGTTTCTTTGTAAACATACATTAAATACATGGAATAGGTACATTACAATTTACCAGTACAACTGCAAAATCAGATTTGAGTTTTACTTGCATTGAACTATATAATCAAAACATACTCCCATTCTACATGGTCCTTTAATGTCACCGCGACAATAGGTTACCAAGTATAAAGTTATCGAAAATAATGGAAAAATAAATAAAGCAGGAAAATTCAAACATCTGGTGTAGTACCTACATATGTTATAGAACTACAAACGTACAAAAATACCAAGACTATAGATACAACTGTAAAAGATTATTTTTTTATTAAAGTGTAAACTGTACTTGTATAAAGCCGCGTCCATATTAGTAAAAATTTACGTTGTGCATTGTAGTTCGGCGCAAATTTGTTCCTGCGGCACAAAATATGTGCGTGTGTGGACGTGTTCGTTGCATAAGAGCGTACACAAATATTTTCGGCGCATTCCACGCACACGATCCGTAGACCATGGTTTTTTTGCTCCTCAACATAAATTTGCGCCGAATACGACGCACGACGTAAATTTTTACTAGTGTAGACGCAGCTTAATAAGGGTAGAAAGTACTTACGGGATTTCGTTCTGAAGGCGGTTGATCTAAGGAGCGTTCTGAGAATACAGTTTTTTTTTAAATATTTTTCCAAAAAGTTCGGAAACAACTTGCTCTCGATTTGTTAGATTAATTAATTCATATTCCTTCCACGATATGCTTGATCAGAATAGAAACTAATTAAAAATTACTCGGGCTTCATGGTTCTATAGCATTAATAATTATAAATTTAATTCGTAACCTATTATATATTTGCAGCCGTGATATTGAAGTTCAAGTTGTTAACCTATGCAATCTATTCTGTAATATATATGTGTATAATTTCATCATATAAATACAAATAAATCTACTTCAATCGTAGACCCATGAAATATAATAAAGCCTGAACTATGTACTAAAATTATATATTTGAATATCAAATATTCCGTAGTGTCAACAATAATTATGACATCATGTAATTTGTGCTAGAATATTCAATAGTTAAATTTTCTTTTACTATCTATTTATTCTTATTACTAGGGCCCGGATTTCAATGCAAAATGCATCTTTTTTTGGATGACCATAGACAATGATTTCCAAGTATATAATTTGTTACATGTAACAGACATTTTAAAGGTAAATTTTTTATTTTGCATTTTTTCAGGCTTTTTGCATTTTTCAATGTTTTCTCATTTTAAGAGCATTTTAAGTATTTTTCAGTAATTTTATTTATTTTAATATATATTTGTACAATAATTCAAAATATTATGTAGTATTTTTACATACCTATTTCAAATTTCAAATGTATTTTTTTTTTTTTTAATTTACTATTGTCGGGGACATTAGAGTAAAATTTCAAATGTGAAGAAAAGTTCTTTAAAAGCTTCTTCTAGAGTTTTGAAGTTTAAATTTATGGGCCCAACTATTTCTTTATCAACTCAACCAATATTGATACATTGAAAACTTGGATACACATCTTGGATACTGCTGTGAATATTTTCAATTTATTAAAACAGTAATCAATGGATTTGAAGAAAACAATGCCATAGCAATTAATAAACCGAAACATTTAATGGCAGTCAAAGAAATGTAATCAAATGTAATATTTATAAAAGCCAATCTTAGAAATATACCCAATTAGTAACTTCTAAATTTATAATTTTACCTAAGACTATTGGTGTCGTGAATGATGCCAAAACTTATATTTAAAATAATACAAGTAATTATGAAAAATCAATAAAGAAAAAATTGAAGAATATAATAGAAAATAATTGTGGTTATACTCAGGGTTTTTAAACAGAACGTAAAAAAACAGTTAAAGAACATTATTGTTGTTCCTAAACTAAAATATAATAGAACGAAACCAACAGTGGCGGCTCGTGTGTATGTGCCCAAGTGCACGTGCACTACCTACCTAAACCCAAGAAAAATTGAAAACGTACATCATAATAACACAACTAAGTACCTGTAATGTAATAAGGATTATTTTCAAAATGTAAAAATATAAACTCAGAATATTATGAAAATAATTATATTATAATATTATATTTAATAGTTGGATTGGGTTATTTCGACTGATAAACGGCCGTCCGGCTGTCCGCGACGGAACGGTATCGGCGTGTACTATTATAGTAGTGCAGTTGTGCACATTTGTACCGTGTAAAAATTAAAGCAAGTCGATACACGCAGCCCGCGTTCTAATAAAATTGGTGTGCACATTTGTTTGTGTGCACATAATCAATTAAATTGTTTTCAGCGAATTATTTTCGACGTCGCCGCGTCGTTGTGCGTCGGCATCGGCATTATTATGTTATTATAGTTTATTTTTACTCTCATTAATTTGTTATACTCCGATTATCAGCTGATCATATTAGCTAGTTGATCATTATTGGAAATTCAAAACATTAATCGTGACAATCGTGTTTCTGACGACCGTCATTAACGTTATTCGTGTATTTGTTTTCAATTTTTAAAATTAACTCAGTACAGCAAATACTATAATATAATTTTTCATCAATCTCGTAGGAGAAAAAGATGGAGATAAAAAATACAGGTAGGCCTACTCCAGATTTAAATATTAAACAAATAACTAAATGTAAAACGAGAGATTATGTAAGACAATTTAAAAATTATATATATAAAACCCATGACTGGAGTTGTGGTTGTTGTATTGTTTTCCCTGTCTACTTTTTGGTCAAAAATCTAATGATGCCGTTTGGGTAAAGAATGGAATAAACGATTTAATTCATTTAAATTCTAAAATCAAAACACACGAAAAATCAGTGACACACATAAATTCTGAATTTAAAACTATTAGGAAAACAAGACATAAGACAACAACTTTCTAGTGCGTATCGGTTGAATATCAAACAATACAATGAAAAAATAAGTCATAATCGTTATATATTGAATAAAATCATAAATTGTATTAAGTTTTGTAGAGCATTTGAGCTTGCACTCCGAGGTCACGATGAAAAATCAAATTCAGAAAATCCCGGCGTATTTCGAGGTCTTATAAACTTTAGTTCAGAGTTAAATTCGGTACTAAAATGTCATATTGAGAACTCTTCGGTATTTAAAAGTTTATCCAAATCAATCCAAAATGATTTACTAGAATGTTGTTTAGCTGTATGTTAACAAAGAATTAAAAATGAAATAAAACAAGCAGAATATATTTCTGTAATTGCTGACGAAACAACTGACGTATCTGCTCAGTTTCAATTGTCAATAATATTTAGATATTTATTATCGGATGGAAACTAGTAGAAAGGTTTTGGGGATTTTTCAATCCTACTGGACACGATGCGAATCGTTGTTTGAATGCATAATATTCAATTTGGAAAAAGTCCTAGTCACCAGATATGTTGATTTGTCAGAGTTACGACGGCGCAAAGGTGATGAGTGGACGTCTCAATGGTGTACAAAAAATAATAAACAATAGCTATAAAAATGCACATTTCATACATTGCTATGCTCATCAGCTTAATTTAATTTTAATTCAAGCAACTTTACAAAATCGTAAGATAAGAATTTTTTTTTCAAACTCAACTGATATAACCGATTTTTTTTCCAACAGTCCACAGCGGGTTACGGTTTTAGATAAAATTTTTAAACACAGAGTTCCTCGATTATCTAATACTAGATAGAATTTTAAAAGTCAAATAGTAAATACTGTGTATGAGAATCTAGAGTCGTTAATTGAATGTATGAAAGAAATTGAATCAAAATTTAATCAAACCATAGCAATTAATCAAGCTGGAGCTTTGCATCGGATGTTAATTGATGATAGATTTATATTTTGGTTAAGAGTGTTTCATTCTTTAATGCCCCATGTTGATATTCTATATAATCAACTACAAAAACAAACTATGGATCCAGTAGAACTCTCAAAAGCAATTTTTCGTTTCGAAGAAAATATATTAAAAGAAAGACAGAATATTGAAAACATCTTTGAAACCTCTCAAAATCATCTAACGAAAAAACGAAGACATGATGATACTATTGAAACAAGAAAAATCTCTGCAAAAGAAGTATGTGACATTTTTATTGTCAACGTTAAAGAACGGTTTGATTATAAAAATCACTTAAATGCTTCGCACCTATTTTTATCTACCAAATTTCCCATGTACGAAAATAACTTTCCAAGTGACCATTTTAATAAAACTATTGAAGCATATCTTTTTTTTTTATGTTACTAAACTTAAAACTGAACTACAACTGTTCTACAAAAGAACCGATTTCCGTGATATTAATTCATCAGTTCATTTATTGAAATTTATAATTGAAAACAATTTAACACTAATATTTTCTGAAAGCTAAAAACTCTTAAAAATAATTTCAACTATTCCAATGACTACAGCTGAAGCCGAAAGATCGTTTCTACATTAAAACGTATTAAAACATTTTTGAGAAATTCAATGACAGAAGATCGACTTACAGCACTAGCAATGTTATCGATCGAAAAACGGATGATCAATAACATTCCAAACTTCAACAAAGAAGTAATCAACAGATTTGCAGAAAAAAAGAGAGGAGAATCGATTTAACATATAAACATGCACCTGAAATATAATAATTTGTATCTACTTTATCATAGTATTTTTACTTGAAAATGTATTATTATTATTATACTTGTAAAAATAGGTATAAGCAAAAGAAAAAGTAATTGGTAAATAACTAAAATTTGAAAACAATTATTTAATACAATTTATAATATATGTATACATATATATATATTATTTTGGTTATTTTTTTTTTTTTTTTGGATGTGCACTACTTCATTAAAAACCCACGAGCCGCCACTGGAAACCAATTATTTAATTTAGTTTATTGGTCCTTCATATGTAATAACAATATAAACTATTAAGTTTACTGACCTTTTTCACGAAAAACGTTATAACTTATTAAGTTCTTTGAAAAATTAAACGAAGAACGTAATAAGGTAATAAGTTCTTCAAACTTTTAACACATAAAACAACACAAATTAAACCGTTTTTTGAACTTTTAAATAACGTTATGAATCAAAATTATCTTTTGACTATTTTGAATTTAAAATTATTTAAGAATAATTAGTACTTTAATATCAAAATCTTAAACTTGAATTACATTTAGTCTTATCTTTATTAATAACTAAGATAAGGATTACAAAATATCCCAATAGCATAATGTGACTTTGAAAGAACTAAAGAAGTTTCAGCCAAAATAAATCTAATAGCCGATCAGACGATCATTTATTTTTGACAATATAAGATAAGCCGATAGGTACCTATAGCTATAATAATGTATATATAATATCAAAAACGTCCAGAGAACGTAAAACAAAAATGTAAAAGTGGCCTAGTGTAACGCGGTGTATGGTTATAGTCACAAACGTGTTCTGGACTTCTGGCTGGTGGTCACTAGTTCCTGGATTGGCGACTACACAAATTTTAATGTCAAATCCCAGCTATTCAAACACGTTCAAGAAATAGAAACGTTTTTCAAGAACGTAAAACTTTAAAGCATTCGAGAACATATGATTATAAAACGTTCTTCTGATAAAATTTTCAAAAACGTATTATTTCGAAACGTTCTTCTAATTTAATGTAAATTAACATATTATTTTGATATGTTCTTTTGATTAAATGTTCAAGAACGTATTATTTCAAAACGTTCTTCTAATTAAATTTACAAGAACGAATAACTTAACAACGTTTATTAGGTAAATAATTCAAGAACTATAAATTTTTTTTATGTTTTTTTGGCAAACATTTCAGAAAACAAACAATTTTAATGTTTTCTAGTAAAATGTACGATGAACCATTTAGTTTGTAACGTTACAATCTAAACCCGTTTGTTGAACATAGCTTGATTTAAAGTTTATCACAAATAAAGTTCAAAAACAAATTATGGAACTGAATCAAAAATTAACGGTTAAAGTAACCCTGGTTATACTATAATGAAAATAATTTAAAACATTTTAGAAGGCAAATAAACCCCTCTGACAAACATATCAGGAGAATTAACATCAGAAGATATTTGCTTCTTAAAATATGCTCCACAATCAAATACCATTGTTGCCAGTCTCAAGCAATATTTTAAATTTTCAGTTTTTTTTTTTTTTTTGTAAAATTAAAAATAATTTTTAATTTTATTATTCAATTACTGTCTAATAAAAGAATATATTTAAAAAAAAAATAATATATTTGTCATTTTTAAGAAAATTTTCATGGTAAATTGCCTTTTTTTAAGGGCATTTTTAACTGTTTTTTAGTGCATTTTTGTATGATTTTGAATGCATTTAAATCTGAACCGAATTTTATTAAACATTAATGTATAAAAAAATGTCCAATTAATGACAAAAATTAACACGGAAAATGGATTAAAATTAATTATTTTTCCATATAGAAAAGATCTATCATTAAAAACACAGCACCCGTCTTCTCGGTCACTGATCAGTGATGCCACGAAGGAATACAAAAAGTAAAGAACGTTTTTTATCCTAAAAATAATAAACCCATGAATTAGATTAACTTGAATTACTAGCATTAAAACGCACAACCGTTTTAAACAATAACTTAATTAAAAATGAGGTAGGAATAAATATATTTGATCATGTAGGATAGATTAGATTCTGTTATTTACATTCCATAAAAGGTGAACAAAATTACACATTTTAAAATGTCAAAATTAAATTTTAGTAAGTTAAAACAAAGAATTCGTAAGAGCGGGGTTCAAAATCAGAATGGTAAATTATGGTTTTGGTTTTGATTTTGATCACCGATTTGTGATTTTATTGGTTACTATTGCAGTATTTTATTTAAGTGGAACCAGTGTTGCCTTGCACCCGGTAATCGTTACACACAACTATGCCGAAGGCGATGGTGATACCACAATATCATCTTTATCACATATTAATTTATTTATTATGAACACAGACTTCTATACTAAGTATAGAAGTGTAGTATTGAAGTCTGTGATTATGAACTACAACAACAAAATTCAACAACTACAACAACATTGATTATTGAACCACAAATTATAATAATAAATACATTCCAGATTTTTGAGCAGGTAAATATATTATGAATATTTGCATTGGTTCTAATTACATTGTATTCCCTGCTATTCTAATGGTATTGATGTCAATTTTTGTTCATGGCTATTTTTAAACCGTTTACTTTGAGTTCCATATAAATTTATTTCAATGTTATGCTTATATATTCATTTCATCAATACATATTGTTAAAATTATATTTTTGTTATTTGTCAAAATGAAAATGTTGATATTTTTATTATATTTTATATGGTATCGTACAATGGCATAATTAAGAATTTGGTTTTGGGGGGGGGGGATTATAGGTTTTAGCAAAATCTGTATACCTCATACAGTAACCCCCACCCTACCCCACCAGAACAAAATTTTTAATAATTTAAATTTTAATAATAATAATAATAATAGTAGTAATCGTAATAATTAAAGACCGGATTTATATTCTCTAAAAAACCTTCAAGTATTCTTATTATATTCTCTTAAAAATCTTAAAAATATGTAAAAATATTCAAGATTGTTCAAAAATAATCAGCAAACATCAATATATGGTTTAATATGTATTTTTAAAAATTTTTTTTGTTTTTACAACATTCTTGTAATCATGAGGTATATACGTAGTTGCATATTATAATAGAATACTCTTGTACTTCAGTAAGAATAGTAATATAGTAAAAATATTACAGTATAATCTATAACAGGGGTCGCCAACGTTTTCAAACAAGTGAGCTACATTTGACATTTCAGTCCCTAGTGATTGACATCCAGGAAAATTTAGGTCTTTAATCTTTAAATCTAATATTTCCATTATCCAATTAATCTGATTATTTTACACGATTGACCAACAGTGGTCAAATTTAATTTTACAATGATCGATTGGCTGGCAATCCCTGGTCTATAGTATTAAAATTTAAAAACAGTATTCCTTTGGTATACCTATTTTAATTAAATGTTGTATTAACACTATTGTCATAATATTAAAAAATAACAAATAATCATATATATATTAAAATATAATAAAACAAAAAAAAAATCGGTTAACAAAAAGTAATTCTTAAATAATAATAATTTAATACAAGATATAAAATAACAATATATGTATATATATGTATAAAAAAAAAAACAATATTTCTTTGGTGCATACAGTGGTAAATATTTACTTTCTGAAGAATAAAAAATAAACTTGAAATACTGTTTAAATTTTATTATATGAATGAACAATAATATATTTTACATATTATCTGTACTCATGTTAGTTCTACTATCGCTTAAAATTTGTTTATAGAGACTAAATGAACATTCAACATTAACAGATATTAGAGGAGCAAACTTCATGTCAACAACTACATTAGGTGTAAAATATTCTGGGAGATCTTCATTGTTTCCACGTAAAATGTTCCCAACTTTTACTAACATTTGGTAACCTTAATTTTTTAACATAATTGAGACACTTTATTATTTTTATTATGTTACCCGTTTCACCAAGTATATTGGTTAGTTTGCAGATAACAGTTTGTACAATCTCCAACTATGAAACAAAACTCAAATATTCTAAAACATGTTAAATGGGCTAAATATTCTCTTACCTATGATATATTCTCAAATATGCAAAAAAACTTTTTTCTATAAACTTAGAATTGAATGAATCGTCCACATTTTTTACTCTCATACAACTGCATAAACTAAGTAATGATGTGTAAAAAACATATAAATCCGGTCTTTAGTAATAATAATAATAATAATAATGACAATAATCATTTTATCACAATATAATAAAAAAAAAAAAAATTTCATAAAAAAGTTTTGGTGGGGGATCCATCCCCCTAATCCCCCCTAATTACGCCCCTGGTGTCGTAAAATTTATCATAATACTTTAGTGATTCATTAAAACTCAAAACAAAATTTGACTTATCTAATTTTAGAATTCATAAAAAAAAATGTATTATTATTTTATTATAATTTTTTTTTGTATTTATGTAGATATTCTATCATGTGCATAATATATATGAGTAGTTTTCAGTGTTTAATATAATAACGACTACTCTTGTTGGCCATATATCTTACATGATTGTTTATACATACAGTGGCATCCAACCATATTGCTAGATGTAGCAGCCGCTACCTACACCTAGAAAATAAGAGGTGGGTGGGTATTATAATATGTAAGTTAAAATAATAAACTTGATATTTATCAATTGTTATTATTGTTTATATTAATAATGATAATATTGTAATAAAATTATAAAAAAAAAAGTAAAATTAGTAAATGGTTAAAACTCTTAAATTAATATATTGTATTATTATTCATGTTTCATTTATTTTTTTTCATATTATTATTCATATTAATTCCATATTATTATTTATATAATAACTATACTATTAACAAATAAGAAAACAAAAAAATACTGTTTAAATTTTGATTTTTTGGGGGTGGATGGGTGTAATAATATCTTGCTACACAAAGCTCATTGTTAATGTGTTATCAGACATAAAATTCCACTATTATTAAATCTCATAATTTAGAATTTCATTGTACTGAAAGTATTGCGTGAACATATTATTAATATACATCCAAGGTGATAAATTTATATAGCAAAGATATATAATTCAATTTAATTATTAGTACATATTATTAGAAACAGTTCTTATCTATCTATATTTTCATTATAATATAATTACAACTTATTTAAATAAGAAATATTAATGTATTATAAAATAATATTTTCAATTTAATAATAATATTTACTTTGGAAATAACCTGAGTTTTATGAAAAAGACATTGAAACATACCTATATTATGCGTATTGACATTTGAATGTTTTTAATTTCATTTAGGTGTAGAATATAAATTTGATTAACTATTCATCTTGGGTTTGTATGCTCACAATTATAAGATAATTTATAAATATAATAAACTTTTGTATATTTCTTTTGTATTTTTAGCATTTCTAATTTGTTATATAATGTTAGTCAATAGTAAATTATAGTGTTATTACATTCTGGGATTACTTATTCTTTTTTTAAATATATTTATTAAACTGTTAGGTCAGTTCATTAGGTAATAAATTAACTATACAAATATTCATGTATGAACATTTTTAAATAAAATTGCTATTTATTTTTATTTTTATTGCTTATAATGTCGCCTACCATATTTTAATACTTTAACTTAATCAATTTAAATTTGAACATAAAATTAATTAATTTATGAACCAAATTATAAAAATCTTTTTATCACAATTATTTGTCTTGTACAATATTATACATATAAATTCAATGATTACATTTTCAATTATATTTTTTTATATAGAATTAATTAAACAATAAAATGTCTGCCCTTGCATCATTGACCGCAAACTATACAGACTCTGAAGATGAAGGAGCTACACCAAGCCAACGTAGTGAACGTAGACATAGTGAAGAAATACCTACTTTAAATGAATCGCAGCAAGAACAAATACCCAGTCCACAGTTACAAATACCAAATTCAGCTCCAGCAGTAACAAACCCAGAAGACGACAAAAAGACTAATAATTTAGTATCGTATTTTGAAGATCATGATATTGTGATGTCAGATGAGGAAATAGATAGACGTTCAGATATAGATGAAGAAGACATATTACCACCTGAACCTCATGGTAAATGCTCTAAAGAATTGCAGGATAAAATTGCAAGATTGCACGAAAAAATGGAAAAAGATGGCATGGACTTGAATTTTTCAATACAAAATAGAAAAAATTTCCGGAACCCAAGCATATATGAAAAACTATTACAATTTTGTAACATTAATGAACTGGGCACAAATTATCCCCCCCATTTATATGATCCTCTCAGATGGGGTAAGGAATCATTTTATGAAGAACTTGGACGCTTGCAAAAAGAAGATATGGAAAAGAGACAAAAAGAAAGGAAAGAAAAAACCAAAGTAAGTTGTTGTTGTAAAATTATTATTTAAATGGCTTAATATTTTTACTATTACAATTCTAGGTCGAGGTTGTTTCTGGTACTAAAAAAACATCAGTTAGTGTTCCAAATGCTTCAAATAATTCCCACAAACAAGATGACAAAAAAAGTAAATGGGACCTTACAACATCAGTAACAGGTACCAAAGGAACAGTCATCTCAGCTTTTGGTTCATTACCAAAAAAACAAAAATTGGATATTCATTAAGATGGTTAATATGATTGTAAATAATAAATAAACAAATTTCATGTGAATTTTATTTTTCAAAATTATTTTGATTAAACATTGACTAGTTTTAACTGATAGTAATAAGTTTTGTAATAAAAAACTTTGTGTTTGGGAGTATATAATATTATGATTTTTATACAGATAGTCTATAACATTGCACAATGTTACTACTTATGATATACATGTTCAACTGTTTAACTACAAAATATTAATTTTATTGTTACCAATAAAAGCAATCTTTATATTATGTATAGTAATAATATTATTAAAATTTCATAATATATTACTTTAAAAAAAAAATATATATATTTATATAGAAAAGTAAAATAAGTAGTGTAAATATGATACATCGATAATTGTATACAGCAAAATATTGTATACTTGTATAATTGTAATCAGTAGTAGCAGTAATAACAATAACAACAACAAAGCCTATAATATAAAATGTACTGCTATAGAAATTCTATACATATACATATATATATATAAATTATTTGAAATCATAAGTGATGTAATAAAATAGTTGAAACAGAGCGATTAAGATAATATTATGAATATTTACACATCTAAACAATAAACCACGTTCATCAAAAAATACTACAGAATCATTTCTATACCCCTGTTAACATTAATTTTTATACATATCGCACAAGACTTTTTCCATTGGTATGTTGCCAATGGTCCTCTGGAAAAATATAGCTTCGATCCGGGATGCGGGAACGTTTTTCAATAGGGGTAACATCAATAGAAGTCGACCAAATCGTACAGGTTGTCCGGGATGTTGATTTCTGGTATGTTGGCCTAGCATAACGTGTGCTTGATCCTGTAAATTTTCCACTTGTATCGGGTCTTTTAATCCTCGCGTATCTGAAATGATCATATAATTATAAAAATATTGTGACTGCTAGTCCACGCTTTTATACGGATCATTTATTAACTGTGAATTATAATTTAATTTCAATCACTTACAACGATAATGATTAATAAATAATAATTTAGCGAAGAAATAGAGATTAATAATATGACTAACACCATAATAGGTGCTAACCTCTTGCTGGTGATTAGAACTAAGATTCACTGTCAATTTTATTGAACTTGTCGTTAATTATTTATAGTTCTAATTAGATAAACTCTGACTAAAACTAATAAGAAAAAGAAAATTTCCGAAAAATATTAATAGGACTTATCTTTTGCCAAATCAACGTTCCTTGATCGAACATGTTAAAATTATTATCTTTAATTTTTTTTCTTCTGATCACTTTAAAATCAGTGTATCCCCCCCCCCCCCCACTCGACACCCTCATCATGTCTAGTGCGTACATAGCTGTAAAAAAGTTAAATATGATATTCAGACCTAAAGTCCGAATCGAGTTCTACCGAAACCGGGAATATCTCCTAATACGTCCTGAATTCCCCATGGTCGTTTATCCGTTTACCCTTTAACTTCTTTGCGAGCGATTTTTTTTTTAATATTTACAGGGGAAAATAACATCAATTGTTACCGGCTCTAAACAATACGATAGCCTTCATGCACGCGAACTCGGCAGGGTCAACGCTAATGGTCCGGAATCTTCGTAAGGTTTCGTTCAACACGCGTATGTCGGCTGCCACTTGACTTGCTTTGCCGTTTGGTATGGCCGCCACGTGATCCGAAGGGTTGAACAGCGGATTGTTTTCTAGCGGTAAACACCACTGCACCGCGTTCAACAAGAACAGTTCTGACCAACATTCTTCTAAGAGTATCACCTAAAATATAAATAAACATAAATTATAAAATCAATGGTTATAGTGAAGTGTGAATTTGTATAACAATAATATTACATATAAGTACCTATTGTATACACACGTCGACACGCAATAAATTATCTCAGTCATGTTGACAGTAAATAAATATGAAGTAACACATTTTAATTTTAAACTCGTTACGAGTGAATGTTAAATATATTGAAAACCTCATTATGAGCTACTTTTTCTGATATAATACATGACAGCCCACTTATTTTATAAATAATATCTTGCCAAAATGATTCAACCAAATGTACAATTGTCTATAAGCCATACATTATATATATATATATATATATATTACTATTATAATACTAAAAATCGATAATGAAGATTTATTGATTTATTTAGTTAAGATTAATTATCAAGATTTTTTAAGTAAACGAAGAAAAACATAAATAATTTCACCAGAAATAGCGAACAATTAAAAAATTTTTTTAAGACAGAATAAGTACGTAGAAAATCAAATACAACTTTAACAACAAAAAATAAAAAATATATGTAAACTAATAAAAAGCACAAGATCCATTTGCATGTTGTTTTGACGTTTTTAATGCATTTTTTTAATTTATAAAGATATTTTTGACTTATTTCTTGCAGTATGACTAAAAGAAATTGACTTATTGAAGTAAAAATTGTACTACCTACGTAATATGAATCATTTTCATTTTAAACTATATAACATTAAACAATCTGGTTTTAAATTAGACAAGGCTTAAATTTTCAGTTTATAAAAACTTGTTAGCAGACAACCGTCGATCATTTAAATATCAAAATATTAAAGAAGCTCTTATTGAACAGTGTAATAAAAATTTAATTTATGAAATCAAATTTTTACTTGTTATCTTTTCTTTATATTTATAAAATCATAAATTTTAAACGTAGATACACAATTTTAAAATGTTAAATGAATATATAAATAATAATAATAAATTTAATGTTAACTTTATTTTTGCATTTTTTTAAAGGGCATCTTTTTAATTTCTTGGAGCGTTTTTAGAGTTTTTAGCTCATAAATGCATTTTTTGAAAGGGCTTAATTTAAATTCGAGCCCTGCTCATCAAAATCGGGCAACATGATATCAAAGGAATTTGTTCCGTGTTGATGGCATCCGTGTTTTCCATTCTAAATGGAAAACATCGCTCAGTGTGGACGGTATTGTTAACAATATCACGAATTGAAATCAACCTGTTCCCTGTGTGCACGATTTATACATATGTATTTGTATTATTTTTTAAAGTTTTGTATTATGCTGTGACTAAAAGACCTCGTAATATAACTAATAGAAATGCTGATAGCTGCTCTTGCTTCGTGGGACGTACAGACTAAAGAAAATTGCGATAGGAACCTGGAGTTTGATGAAACGATCAAAATAGCAGCGTACTTCAAAACAAATGTGGATAAAATATCAAGGAAAATGAAACCCTTAAAAACAAAGTTTAGCCAGGAACGGCAAAAAAATTGGAGAGAAAAGTAGAACTAATTGATGTAGATTGTGGACACGCAACTATTGGTTTGAACGCGCTACACAGTTGACAGCACGTATCTAGATACAAGCATTGCTCGACTTGTGGGAGGACGAAGGGGACGGAGTGCCCCAACTAATTTTCAGAAATTTTAGCATCCTCTCGCTAATATTAAGTTATAATTATAACCTTTAACAACTTTTGGGGACGATTTTTTTTCTTAAAGCAACAGAATTCCCCTTCTTTAATATTGTCGAATCAAGCACGGGATACAAATATCTCTATCCTACAAATTTGTTGCCAACATCTGACAACATGTTGTTAATTTATTGTTGTCCTGTCTATACATAAATTTAATCATGTAACTGTATAGGTTCAATTTAGAATGTAAAATACAGATACAAACAACACTCAATAAATTTCTTTTATATCATACAGCCCTACGTTGATGAGTATTACCGGTTATTGAAATACTAGTTGAAAACATCATTAACAACATGTTGCCAACAAAATGTTGCTTCATCTGTACGTATCTTAAAACAACTGAAATTTGTATTTTGCATGTTTGGAAGTTCCATACAACCATATCCATTTATATTATATTATTGTAATACACAATATGGTAACGTTATTCTAATAAATAAGATAGATACCATATTCATAAGCTTTCTCCCTTCCTACCATTTTATCCAGAACATTTTTTAACATAAAAAATACATGGTACTACTGTTCCCAGTGATAACTGTATGCGCTACCCAGGGATGGGCGATCGTGCCACTGACCAACATATTATTATAACGACCGTCATGACAGGAGTTAACTTTCCCTCTATGTACCTCTGGTAGACAAGTTGGTTGAAGTGTCACCCAGTGAAAATTTCTTAAAATATGCTCTGACTCTATTCGACTACTCGATAAATCGACAGATTATTTTTTAGAGTACTACCCCATTTATTGTATTTTAATAATAATAAATATCTAAATATTCTCAATTTTTAATCGTGTACATTAAGGTGCCGTCTAAATTGTTGTCACTCATCTCAAAGAACACATTTTTTTCTTCTTATAAAATAGTTATTTCATTAATATTATTTGAAATTCGTTATTTTAGTTTCGTATACGACGATACTAAGCCTACCACAGGGTTAAACAATCTCACCTGATCTCTGAATGGAAGAGACGCGAACGACGGTAAATTTTTAGCCCACTTAACGGCCATGAACAGCAAACGAGCGGACGTCTCGTAAACGTTCTCGTGTAGTCCCGGATAGAACGAAGGATGATGATCGTACATCGAATGGTGCTGAGTTAGCGGTATAGGAACAGTCAGTGGCGACGATGACGCTCTTTTGTTGTCCGACGTATCCGGTTCCTCGTTGGTCACGTCTATACTGTCGTCTGTAAAAAATATTTAATAATAAATATTCTTAATAATACGTTTGGATGTTTTTTTGTTTTGTCCGCTTATCATTTACGATTCGGTTATAATTATTCTAAATTATAAGGGGCATGAGTATATATCATATCGTCTTTATAAACAACTTTGTACGATATTATTATCTAGTCACTTATCATTATATATTATATATTACCATTATATATATCATGAAGTTAATGTTTTTTATATTTTTAAAATTTTGGATTTTCTCATGAAATGAACTAGCTTATTATGTGAAAAGAGAGATTGACGATTTTTAAGAGTGTGGAGAATAGCTAAGTTGTTGATGGAGAGGCATTCAAAAGTGCAGATTTGATAAATAAGAAATACTTGATAAATATACTGTAACCAATTAAATGCCGGTTCAGTAGAACAATTTAAATAGTAAGTAGGAGTCGGTCAACTAAAGTATTCTGAAACGAAATCATCTGAATGTCGTAAAACGCCGGCGATTTAAAATTAAGTTAAGACTTAGATCAGAGAATAATATATAATAATATATCAATATGGAAAAAGGTGATATTGTAAGTATCGTGACTTGTCAGTACTCGAACCTTTTTCTACATTTATAGTTGCTGAATCTACATCGTTCAATCGTGCAAGGTTACTTCCTTCAAAAACGGTAAACTATTTTTTATTCAAAATTAAAATATGTTTTTCGTAATCGATTTAACAGTATTACATATTAATTTATTACTTACAAACCATTTTGTAATCCAAAATGATAGTCGACTGTGCGTTTTGCACTGATTTAACAGTAAAACTTATTTTTATAAAAAGAACCATTTTGCATTCGTGTTTCGCACGAAGATAAGTATTTTTATTTTTCACGCCTGACGTGTCACGACTATTGACAGGGCAATATTGTGCCGATAAACTTCACTGTCAGTCCAGTGATCTTACCGTCGTCTTGGTCATCGTGATGAGACTCTTGTTTTGGCGACGAAGAGGCGGTTGGTGACGGTTCCGCTGGCCGTTGCTGTATGCTCGGTGGTGCCATGGGACCGTTCGGATGATACCTCAACGGAGATAATGCTAATGCCACAGAAACCGGAGGTCTGTAAAGACATGGCCTGTTGAGAACGGTTTTTTTGTTATAGATTACTGTTTAACAATATAGTTAATATTCGATTGGAGAATATTAGTTATAATCTAAGCCACAGAGTTAATGGTAATAAGCTTAGAGCCCAGTAAATACGTTGTCAATAATAGATAAAATATATACAGGTAAATATGTTTTTAATTTTTTTATTTATAATTAATTATTTTTAATTTAAATGTGCTTACTGTATAATGTACATCTTATAATAAGCACGAATACATTTTATATTTTAAAATAACACTTTAAATGGGTAATATGCACTGTAATTGTTTATTGCATGTATATTAAATACATAAAAATTATTTACTTTATTTGAATCAGCTGTACACAATTACAATATGTTTATGGGTATGACTATCCTACTTAGTAATAAATATATTTACATACGATACAGTATTCAAACAAAATTTTTAGCTTATATTGGTTACGTTTAATTTGCATAGTACGAGGTATATCCAGAAAGTAAGTTCCGTTTTCTATTTTTATCGCGTTTACGATGTTATCTTAATTACGGTCATATCAGATTATTTCATTTACTCATTTAGAACATTTTAAAACCATTCCGTGACTAGTTAGTGTACGTATGTCACGTGGCGAGTGTTTTAAAATGGATAAACTAATAGAAAATGCCGCCACATGTGAGTTACGATCTGTGATTCGTTTTTTAAATGCAAAGAATATCAAACCAGTTGATATTCATCGTCAAATTGGTGAAGTTTATGGAGAAAATGCGATGAGTGATTCAATGGTAAGGAGATGGGTGTGACTTTTCAATGAAGGCCGTACAAATGTTCACGATGAAGAACAAACTGGGCGACCATCTTTGATTAGTGATGTTTTGGTGCAAGAAGTTGAAAAAAAATTCATGAAAACAGAAGGTTCACATGAATTTTACACATGAAAACATTTATGGGTGGCCAGAACTTCAACGAAGATGATGAGGTGAAAAAGGCTATTAGCGCATGGTTACAATCACAGGCGTCATCTTTCTATGATGAAGGGATACAAAAACTAGTACCTCGATATGATAAGTGCTTAAATAATGGTGGTAACTATGTTGAAAAATAGAGTAATACATGTATTTTATATTCAAATAAAATTTATAATAAAATTTATACATTTACATGTTTTTATTGCCTAACGGAACTTACTTTCTGGACACGCCTCGTATATTTTTACACGTCTTATTATTTATCACATATTTTATTACCAATGAAAAATTATTTATAAAATAATAATAAAAAAAAAAAATTCTAGACATTTACTAAGTACTGAGTAGAATAGTATAAAATTATTACGTATATGGGGCTACATTTAACAATAAACTTACAATTTATTTATTTAGGTTTATAATTGAATGGACATCGTGATTATACGTGGACTGTCTGTCGCTAGTTTTTGTTTCAGTTAAAAAAATTATTTCTTACATTATTTTGGTATTTTATTTTCTTTAATCATACTCCAAAGTTTTGTAGGGAAAACCACAACTAAGTTGAATCTCGTAATTTCAGTGTTTTATTTGGGGGCTCCGGACTATCTAGTTTATTTCATTACAATTAATCCGTACATAATCAATTTATTCATTAAACGTAGATACTAATTTTCTATATTTTTATAAATGATTCAATAAAATTAATTGATGATTAAAAATTAATCTATTAATAATAAATTAAATATTTGGATGAAATAAAATTTAAAATAGCTATAGATACTTATAAGTATTTTACGTATTACTAGTCAGTAATTTCAACACTAAATAGGTTATATCATGTTCATGAAATGTCGTTATAATATATTTTATTAATTAAACAATAATGTATAATATGAATTAATTATCAATCAAAGTAAATCCCATTTGTGATTATATATACCACTGCGTTTATCTTTTGGGCTTTGTGGGTGTATATACATAATAAATAAATATACATATATAAATGTAATAACATACAAAATCTGCACATCAAATTAACATTAGTCAAATGACATCGTCCCCTACGTGAATTATTTTAGGGCTATCGCCCACAAGTGCCTTTGACGGTTAATCCCTAAGTTCTGGTGGAGAATGACGTTGGAAAAGGCATGAAAAAAACCCATATGGCCGTTATAACGGGAATCGGTTAGGGACCAACATCATTTAATTTGTAATTCGGTGGTGGGATTAAATCGTTTCATTGTACAACTAATCCCAAATAAATTGATATCTATTCTTAGACTTGTATATTTTATTGATATTACATCGTATACATTTCTAAAGTATATTACGCCCACCGGCAACGATATTTATAGTATGTTAGAGCAGTATACAATGTATTATATTCTTTTGAAATTTTTTTAACTTTTTACTTTTAACGCAATCTTTAATACAAGTAAAAAATATAGCTATATGGTGTTATAAAATAACTATAACTATACAATAAATATTTTGTCTTTTTCGCATACATTAACCAAATTATTTTTAATTAACAAATAATAGTTATATTAATACCTATATTGTTCTATATAAATATATTATCGAATATTTAAATTATTTTTAATATATGTAACCTACGTATAATAATAAAAAGTATGTATAAAAAATACTATCTGTTTATAAAATATATGATTAAGTTTATTTTATAAGTTCAAAATATCGGTTTTTAGTAAAAAAGGTAAATTTAAATACACATACTCATATATATTATTCATAAGATTATATACCATATATATATAGAGTATTAGTCATGAAACTCAAATACCCATATGGTATATATTACAGTAGGAAAATGAAACTTTTTTCAATACATAATTTAGCATATCATTAAAGTCATTGTACATTTTACAATTTATTATATGTTGTTCGTAGAAGTAACATTTATTTTATGTTAAATTTTGAATGTTGCTTTTTAAAACTAAGTAACACATAGGTTTTTTTTTACTATCGAGATTTTTCTATTAATATAAATGACTATTTCTACATTGTAAATATATTCTAATTATATCTATTAGTAAATTATATAAATATAAACTAGATACTAATTAATGAAACTAACATGAAACTTGTGAAAATGAATGGTGCAAATTTCGAATGAGTTCCGTTTCGAACAAGTTTTAATAGTATTAAGGAATGTGAAAATATAATAATGTAAACAATTATATTTTTATGTAATGTAGTTAGCTACTAACGCTACTAATTATTTAATTTATATACGAGGTATATTTATACATATTATACGTAAATACGGGTTTGCATATAGAAGCTTCGAAATTTAAAAGGATCGCGTATACAAAGTTTAATTCGATTCAGAAATATTGCAACAAATATAACAATTTTCTAATTATCTTAACCAATCTGGGTATGACATGAAATTAAAATATTATTGAAGAAACAATGTCCAAATGCTGTCTTTTTAGTTATTTTAATAACGCAAAAGATATGGATTATAATAAAAGAAACTACATAAAATAGTATTTTCGTCAAATTTCATTTAAGTATACACAATTTCGGTATTTGCATTTGAAAGCTAGGGACAATGAGTTTATAATATATACTATTATGCATTTCTGAGATCAGAGACATTAAAACTAGTTATATTAATTTATACTTATGGGGATATGACAATCATTTAACATTTAATCAACAAGTTTTGATCCCTAGTAAGTATAATATTTTAAACGAATCGTTTAGGAGGACCCATACTAATTGTTCGTTGTCATTCCACATTTATAAATTTTGACTACAGCCTTTTGTATTATAAAACAAATAAAAACCAAAAATTATGAAAAAAAAAACAATTGTGAAACGACATGTTTAGCGTTTGTCTAATACTTTTGTTTTTGGCAAACAGCGTGTCCATCAGGGAGCGAAATATTTTCATGGTACCTAAATATAATTTGCATAACAAACAAGATTAAATAATATTTTTTCCTTATGGCATTTGTCATTAATATGGCAACCAGGTCGCACGTTATTTAGGAGCGGTTATATGATGTCCTGCATACATGCTTCTGAACAAACGTATATTGTGCGCAAAATACACTTGGGTAAACCTTCTGTCCAAATATTAAATTATATTTAAATATGCATATTTATGTCTAATTGTTCGTAGGGGAGCAAAAAAATTAAATGTGACAAAAGCATAGGCGGATTTGTCTGACTTTTGTGTATAAAAGAGAAAAAACATAAGGGTATAAAATATACCCAACCCTTCGAAATGAAGAATTAAAATGCGACTAAACACCTGAACCCTTTTTTTATAGATACGAAAACGGAATAGAGGAGATTTACAAAACCATTAATCAAAATTTGGGGTGGACGGCAGAATGTGATATCCTTTATTTATATACGTAACATTTAATAGGGTGTGTTTATAATGTTTCAAACATTAAGCTTACACTTGGTACGTCGATAAATGATTTTGAAAAATTATCTAAGCAGACTAGGACTGGCACAATTGAAAGTAAAAATAAATACGATATTTTATAGAACGATGATATTGTTCTATAAATGATTTTATATTTAAGAACTTTGTAATATAACAATTAGTATTGTTTATTGATTTTTAATTTCTATTATCATCGTCGGGTTATATTGCAATGAAATTGATCGATTATCAACAACTATCATAAATAATATATATTAACCGATTGTATCTACATGTAGGTGCATCTAGTTTATTCTATTGATTCTATTATTGCATTATAACACTGCACTATTTTTTTTTTTTTTTTTTTAAGAGAATAAAACAATAAATAGCTCACCCAAACACTCCAACTGCCACAGCTGCTTCTCGAATCACTCGTTCGTGGTCCATGTCGGCTAAATTTTCTGGTCTTATCGTAGCCGTATTTCTGGGTTGACGTTCGTTTTGAACAGCTAAATAATCATAACAATATGATTAATTTTATTGTACCACGGAAAATCTCAGTATGTTTACAATTTATAGGAGACTGATGTATAATACATATAACTATATAACTAGACGAGTTTACTAAGGTCTACGATAATGTGAATAGGTATCAAATAAAAAGAAATATACTCCAGGTTAAGCATTTATTTACTTATTTTAATCCTAAGTCAATTCAATCAGATATCTAAACTATTCAAGTTATAGAGTGTCGCCATTGGGTGGCTGCTTTTTTTCATGTGTATCCAGGTCATTGAATTATTTTCCGCTTACAGACTTATTGTAATATATAATAACAGATTGTTTTATCAATAAAAGTTAAAAAAAAAAGAAATAAAGATTACTCTGTTAATTACAATGGTGGTAGTTATTACATCGTAGTAAAATGTTTGATAATCAACGTTAAATTTCAAACTAAAAAAAAATCGTTTTTGTAGTAATTATTATTATTATTATTAGTTGTAATTTTTCTAAAATGTTTATTTTTTTTACATTTTGTTTATCAGTGCGGATATAAATACCTCCGGTTTTTATTTCCTTTGTGCATATATGTTTGATTTTTAGGAAAAAAGTGTAAATCTCGATAATATGATGAGTTATCGATTTTATAACGATTCGAGAACTGAATTTATTCACCCATACGCTTGCGGCAATCGTTTTCAACAGATTTGCAGTGCACGTATGAAAGATTCGTAGCAGGAAACACAAGTGTAAAATCTATATAATTGTATATGGTCTTACATAGATGGGTTTGAACATGATTGGAGGAGTGGGCACATTGTACACAACAACACGCGCGCAGTTCATATCGAAATAGTCAAGACCGTGTGTCCATGTGTAATACACGTTATTGTTTCGCAATAGGATCGTCATCATGAGAAATCCCTTTGATTTCATCGACGACGTCGTCGGTAGTGATATTGCTGTTAAAATCTCGCGTGGCGTTTGCGGGCGTTCGCTGAGCGTAAGCTTTTTAATGACAAGTGCCACGGGGATGGTTGAGTTCACACGAATACATGCATTATTACGAACAAAGCTTTTGCGCGACATAAGAAATAAAAATAAGAAAAAATAATAAAAAATAATTATATAACTAATACGACGTTTTAAAGCGACGAAAAATAAATGGCGTGACGGCGTAAACTGTATAATATATTACATAATATACGATGTTACGTGTTTTTGGTTATTTTCCCGGCACGTCTACCCGTCTTCACCAGCAAGAGCGCGTGACGTGTCTGCTGCCTAAAGTCTGTACCTATAGCCGCTCTTGCTCGCGTGTTGAAAACACTTATACCTACGGTCTAAAAAATTAATCGGCTATTCGCTAAACACTAGTACATGCCTACTAGTTTTTCGTCAACATAGTTTCTCATTTTATGTTTAGTGCATTCAAAAAGTTGTATCAAATAATTGTTCTACGCCATGTGTGGAAATATACAATATTTAGGTGTTCGTGATACTGATTGATCGATAGTATTTTTATTTATTCAAATAAACGCTAGACAATCAAAAAGAGTTGCAAGACAAGACGTGGTCGTAAGTCCCGTAACTCTCTAAGATTTTCATGGGTTTTGCGGGACCTATATACCAATAGTTACAAACGGTGACGTTCTTAATTAAACATAACATTCCCTCAAAATCGGTGCATCCGAATTTCATGTCAAAATAATTAACATAAATCGGAATGTCCAAATTGCATGCCATCTCTTAGAAGGGTCTGTTCGAATTGTATGTCGCGTTTTAGAAAGGTCTGTCCGAATTGCATACCGTATACCCCCAAGTTTATTAATCATGCACTTATGTGAACAACTTAAATTTTTTTTAAACTTTAATTTTTGACTTTTCTAATTTTTTAGAAAAACAGATGAATAGAAATTGATTAGTACAATAACGTTTACAAAAATTATAAAATATAAATAATATTATATTATAAAATTATAAAATTTAACAGCAAACATTTATGTGACCGATACGTATGTCTATGAAACAGACCACAATACACACAATAAGTACAGTTTGATAAAATGTTTGCTCGGATGTAAAAATTTCAATCTAGAAACTAATCAGTTGTAAGAACCATATCATCAAAAGTTTAAGTCAAAATAAAGTTTAAGTTATATACATAAGTGCATGATAAATAAACTTGTGGGTACACAGCATATCCACTCTAAGACGTGGCATGCAATTCGAACAGACCACTCTAAGACGTACCAAGCATTCGGACAGACCCATCCAAGAGATGGCATGCAATTCGGAAATTTTTTTTTTGTGGCATGCAATTCGAATGCAAATGCAGCCTTCATAATCGATAGAGCTGAAATGCCGTTAATTGGACATTTTCACAGAACGCGACTTCGGGTGAGATCAGCACATTTTCTGAACGTGATGATAACTTTAGTTCCACGAATGGAAATTTGAGTATTGCATATTGAGAAAGAAAACAAAAAATGAGAAATAATGACAACTGCCCGCGAGTGTCTCTGCAGGGTTCATATAAAAACCGTACAATGCGTATACCGCACGTGTAACGGAACAGTCGCCGCATCGATAGATTATTATATTGTACAAGAAATGTATACATGTTATATTTTTGTATGCATTGTTATTATTTTTGGTTCGTTTTCTTTTTTTCGCACGTCTTGTTCTCATTTGCAGAGACACGCGTGCATCTAACGTCCCTGGCCCGCGGGCCATAAACACATACGGTCGGGAAGGAGAACAGAAAAAACCTACACTTTACGCGCATATAACCCACAATAATATGGATATTACACTACACGGGCGGATGCGTGAGCGCTCATTAAAATAAAATTTCATGCACACATATTATTTTATTGTAACAAACTGCTGTGTATACCGCACAGCTGATGTGTGTGTGCGCACGCGCCGCCGCCGAGAACGACACGTCGCGGTTTTTTACTTATTGTGTTATTATTATTATTATCATCATCACGCGGTCGCTTTATGTTTATTTAAATGAGCGTGAAAACATTTTTCCTGGTTAACTCCCCGTCCTCCGTGGTCTCTCTCTTCCAGAGCGTTTCTGTTATCTTTTTATCATTATTGTTATTATTATTATTATTATTTTTAACGAGGGTCGATGGTGTGAACACGTGACTGCCGCCCGCCGCATCCTTATTATAATAAGTCTCGCCCGACGACAATATGTTATGGTAATCGTATACCGCACGCATATGACGCTAAACGGAACGAAATGCATATATATGCATTTGGTATTTTAGAGGTGGTTATAATTGGTAACGGTGTCGTGCTTGCATTCATGATGGATCTAGAAATACCGAAAAATCAGAATCATTCCTGGGTACCACGTTTTCGTATGAACACACGTTACTGGTCTCCGTATTTATATTAACCAGGGTTATATATTATATTTTAAACCAACCAATACATTTTGTGATTTAAGAATAATTACATAAATAATTTTAAAACATTGAGATGAATTGCAATAGTTATTGTATAAGAACTAATAAAGATAAAGATTTCATAAACATTTACATAATTGATCATCTACAAGTCAAAATCGAGCGTATGGTTTATAAATGAATATTTTTCAAAAATGACTTACTAACGTTGTTGAAGAATTGAAAAGTGTGAAATATGTGAAAACTGTGAAGGCATATTGAAAAAAATAATTTCTGAACTCAAAATATAATTTAAGTAAATCCGAAATGAAAAATACAATATTAGTGACTATTTTACTACTTAAAAGCAAATAATTTAATGTTTTCATGTATACTTCTCGGTTCGTTAAAAATTGCATATCCATTGATGGACCTCATATAAATATAAATATACTTATTAATAACATTACGATACTTATGAAATTAAATATATTATAATATATGTATATAGTATATTATAGTAGTAAAAACAAAAAAAAATTATTTAATTCTTGTTAACGCATTCAATGTATATTCGCTACATGAAATTTTTTAAATTATTAAGTTGAAATCATATAATTTAAATAATTATAATTTTAAAAGTTTAAATGATTAAGTTGATTCGTCAAATGAAAAATTTAAAAAAATATTTTTACTTATTCCATTAAAGTACGAATATTTTTTAAGCATCAAATTAACTATTAAAATCAAGTTTTAACAATATTGACACTCACCATCTTTATTCATGCCCATGTTAAGACACTTTTTCAGCCTGCAAGCCTGACATTGATTACGATGTGCCTTGTCCACTATACAACTTCCGGTACCTGCTTGACATCTATTAAACGAAAATAATTATTCATTAAAAATTTAGATGATTAATAAAATGTTTTTTGTTAGTAATTTCTATATTTATCGTATTTGTTTTTCGAATATATTTATAATATTTTTATTACGGCATTTTTCATTTGGCCGACAATGGCGGATATACTCCCATTACACGCCCTCTATTTTCTGCACGCACGCGTAAAAATGATTCTTACATCTTAAAATATAACTGTTACTCTAATCACACGAAGCCAACAGTAACAAAAGTAACGCCCATTCGTGATGTTATTTTATTATTTATTTTATTTTAATACATAGATGATTTTTTTTATACATCTGGTAAACATATATGTATATGATAAATTCAAAAACAAAATATACTTAACTTTATAAAGTTATAAAAAATAAAGTGACAATTTTTAATTATACTTATCAATAATATATATCATGTCATACATTCAGATGTATGTATTCAGTTATTAATAAACCTAAATAAGTAGAAAATGTATTGAAAGATGAAATGCTATAAATTTTAAGTTAATTAACTTTGAGATACTCAAAAGCACTATTTTATACCTAATAATCATATAGATAAATTATATAGATAAATTAATAATTTACTTATAAAAAATATTATTTTAAAAATTTAATTTTTAAAAGCGACTTTCACATTAATAATTAGGAACATTTTATATTCAGTAACTTTACATGCAGCGATTTTAGTTGTTTTAGGAATTAAATTTCTAGCTCTGATATTAAAATCAGTCAATAATAAATGATACTTTATAGGGTATATAAAGGTAGGGTAAATAAAATTAGGTTATTGAATTAAATAATTAAAAATCAAAGATTAATGTCACACTAAAATATATTATAATATTTGTAAATAAAAAGTTTTATTATATTTTTGTATATCATGAATTTTACATTCATAGATTATTTCATATCAAAATCAATTTATACTGTTGACTAAATGTTAAAATAAATGACTTTAGGCTAAAAAAAGGGACAGTTAGCTTCGAAGGACGAACAATTTTGTTGACCCTTCGTTGCTGTGTATACTTGTGCATCCGAGTTACAGTAGGTGGCGATGCCGTGGTGGCTTTAGTCCCCGGGGTGCGATCGGGTCCGAGATTTAATTCCGTCGATCGAATTGAGTGTGTGTGGATAAGTACGTACCGAATTCGGTTGAAACTGTACGAGCATCAGCATGGGGTATGAAGAGGTACTCTTTAAACAAATCAATTTATCGTTAATGCGTCTTTCTGCTGCTTCTGCTATTGTGGCTATGGGATTTGCACTAATAACGTGTGAGGGGTGGCGATGTGTTTCATGAAGGGTGGAAATTATTATTACTATGTATCCGGTCTGTGGAAGGTAATCGTTCGGCCGTCACAAGTGTAAACCTGTTAGCGGGTCACGGTCAAAGAGCGGCAGAAACCCTCAACAGAATAAGTTTACCATTTTAATTCCCTCGCAGACCCTTTTATAATTTGATTTTGATTTGCCCATCGCTTTCGTGTGTAATGAAATCCTACCGTAAGGTCGTTACATACTGCAGTGTTCTTTAATACTCGGAAAGGATTGAAAATCAATGAAAGAGATAGTAAGTTATGTGTATCCATATTTTTCGCGTAATCGTGTTTTAAAAATAAAAAATATTTCCGAAGTTTCTAAATCAGAAAACAACTATCTTAGCACAATTCAATAAGAAAACATAACTCATAAAAATGTAAAAAAGATAACTAATATTTATGATGAATTGTCATTGGAAATTAATTATTTGGACTATATAAAGATTATTAAAGGAAACTTTGACACTATTTTAGTAAACTTGATGTGAAATTTTTTAAATCATTTTCAAGATCTCCTAAAATAAAAAAATTGTATCAGATGGTACTGTCAAAAAATATGTGTATATATTTACTTAGAGTATTATAAAAATTAAAGTTTTGATAATACAATAAAACACTATAAATATTATCTTTAATCAGTAAATTGTTTAAAAATATGAATTTTATAATTAGTTAATTTAATAAAAATTTAACATTTACAACCAGATTGTAAATGTGACAATAAAAAATATAAATGTTTTTAAAACAATCAGCGTAGTCAGTGTATCAATACCAAAAAATAGTTGTTTATATTTATTTCCTCATTCATATAACTTGAAATTTAAATTAAATGTTACCAACATATTGTTATTTTTATCATGTGCTGCAGTCATATAGATAACATAACACATTAACTTCACGGTTCATACGTCAAAGCGAATATAAATATAATAAATATCTATAATATTGACGTACAGTGAAGTAGCCAACAGTTTGGTTTAAAAACAGGTGAAATAGCTCGTCCTTACGTAGATTTTCTGTGGGGTAGAAGTGGAGTGATCGTGACCGCACCTGGTCCATCTGTGTTAGGAAACAAAATGCTGCCGCGTTTTATAACTTTCTCGTCGAAAACCAATCAAAAAGTATATTGCGATAGGGGAAGACGATCGATTCCGAGAAAATGCGTGTAGTGTTTGTAATAGCAGCAGCAGAAACTGTAGTAAGTGAACGAGCAGCGAAATGGACGGGCTCAGCGATAGGGCAAGGCAGAGAAAGGCAAAGAAATATAGTGGAAAGGAAAGAGTGAAAGGAGAGGGTATGTTAGAGTGAGAGAAAGAGCGAGAAAGATACGGGGAGGGGGTGTCGAGGAATAAGGCTTTTGGTCGGCCCGTGGCATGCCCAATGTAGTATTACGTTAGAGATATATAATTGAATCTTTTTGCCGCGCTCGGCTTTCTAAACTATATATACACCCCACACCAGACTCAACGTCCCGATACAGTAATCCCGAGGAGCTGTTATAAAATGTCAAACCCCCTTTCGTTACTGAATCACATTTATTTATAACCGTTCAAGAGTATTAGAGACATGGAATTGAAAAGGAAAAAAAGGAAAAAAGCGATTCTTTGTAAGCAAGCTGACTAGGCTTCAAATGATCGCGAACGTATTCATATTATTATACCTATACGTATGTAATAATACACGCGCGACGAGGAAAAGCAAGGAACACACATCGCTTAATACTCGTACTATTTATTTATACACAATACTATGTATATAATATTGTGTATAAATAAATACGCTACCGTGTATATGTATACATACATAAAATAATTTAATATATACGCATAGAAAATCACCACAGCGGCGATGGTGGTTATTCGGAAATGCTAACAACGTAGGATTTTTATGGGCTCCCAAACCACTGAAAAGGGAATCGTTTACTACAGATCGCTCGGGAGGAAAAATAATAATATGAACGCGGTTTCAAGAGGATTTGGTAAATATACCGAATTGTATACATATGTAAGATACCAATATTGCATGTAATAATAATAATAATAACAACAACATCGAAAAATACATATATTTAAACATATAAATATCAAATAAGGAAAGCCCGATTACGAACATTTAAAAAATTGTCCCAACACATGCGAAAATTCATGATTCGTATTGAAACATTGAATAGAAAACCGTAACTGTTTTTAGTTACGAAACAAAATGTAAAACATGGGATAAACCTCTTAGGTACCTATCAATTTTGTGTAAATTTGTCATATTTACAATACTTTAAACTTGATTGTTTTATTATTTAACTCTGTTGTATATTTAAAGCTGTCTTCGAGTATAGTATTAAAACGCTATGAGTTTTTTTTTAATTTTCATCTGACAAACTGATACCTCTCCTATTTCATTCAAAAAAAGGTATATGTATTTATTTTTTCCACATATTATTCAGAATTTTTTGTTTTTTACTTAGTAGCAATTTTTTCTATTATTAAGTTCGTCTAAAATAAAATATATTGGATATACTATAGGTGATACACTAAAATTACAAATTCACTAATTGAATCAACCTTTAAATATAACTTTACCCAAAAACAATAAGTTGTGAAAAAATACGGCTAATGGGAAACTGATGGTAGTTCGCACTCTCTCTCGCTACCACGTATGATTTTAATATGCATTTAATTCGTACGTATAACATAAATTATAGATTTATTTGATGTTTTACATTTTTACCCAAAATAGTATACACACATTTTATATTGATTTGCATAGTTAAATTACGAGTAAACACATGTTTGAATAGATTGCATTGTTGCTTAAACCCCTAGTGGCATAATATTAGGAATATGAAAGAGGGTGAAATAAAGGTTGTTCCAGTTTTTTGTATTCATTCAGTTACACGAGGAGCTAATATTAGACTTACTACAGCAATTATTATTTTGGATTCAAGTAAATAACCTTTATCCATTATAGTCAACGATGTATTGTATTTTTGTTCAAAATTAACTATTGTCATTATTTCTCATTTATAAATTTAAAATTTTTATTTTTCAAAATGTACCTATACTTCACAAATCAATAATATATTATAATGCGGTTGGACAATTATTTATATTCATCAAAAATATTAATAAAGTTAAGAGTAATAATGAAATAATATCATAAAAGTACTAGTATTTATTATGCTTTATATTTTTGTATTAGGTGTACTTAAAAATGGTGTTTCATTTAAGTTTACATCATAAGCGTGTACAGACTTCTTTTTTATGGTATGTAGAAGGTTGTCTCAATCACCCCCTCTCACAATGGAAGTTAACTTTAGCGTTTAAAATTTTGGTAAAAATATGCATACAAATGTTTAAATAATTGTTTGATTTAAAATTAAAATTTTTTTCTTAAAAAAAAAAGTGACTCAATGGCCACTTCTTTATTGTTATAACTGTCTTTATCAGTATAATTTAAAATAAATGACGAGAAAACCAATTAAATATATAACATTTCAAATGTTATATATTTAAAAAAATGTCAAATATTTAATCTCTTTTGAAGCATAGTACTTAATTTAGTAAAATAGTTCTTAATTTTGATTTCACCAATATTAATTTAGTAAATGATCGTTTACAAGTATAACTTGTAACTGACATTACTGCAAATTTCTTTATCACAATAATAAATAGTTCAAAAATACAATGTTTATCAAATTATTTTAACCATTGATGCCAAACTCAAAGTATTTTAGTATCACAGTTGACTTAAATTTGTTTTGTTCTAACAAATTTATTACGGATAAAAATTTATCTTGATTACACTTAAAGTGTTTACTTAATACATATAAATGTATTAAATTAATAGATATATAAAATTAAAATATAAAAAATTTAAATGAATCTCTTTATAGTAGTTCGGTTAGCAAATGTTTGTTCTTTGGTTAGCAAGACTATGTGTTCAGGGTATGCAGCTGCATACCCTGCATACCTCCTGCGCACGCCTATGGTTTAAATAGCATTTTGTTAATAAGAGAAACTATGAAGAGTAAGAGTATTGAATTATATACGTAGAGGTACACTATGAATTGAAATAATTTTTATTTGTTGAAATCAAATGCCGGAAAGCAATGTTATAACACTTATTATAATCATACATAAATGTCACACATTTTGCAATTAGTCTTAAGCAAAACAGGCTTGAAATGCTAACTCAATATTATGTTGGTTTTATATATCGAAATTTATCTATTCAAACTCAACGAAAGAACAAGGATTGATTAATTATACTACAGAAGTACAAAGTACTAAAGATATAGATGAAAAAAGTAATTTAAACTGAAGATGACCCATGAACCGCAATTTTTTCAATTTTTTTATATACTAAACAAATAAACTGATTTTAAATAATTTTAATTCGCAATAATATTTTAATACGCAATAATATGCCATCGAATTCGAGCAGGCAAAAATATTAATAAATTTGTCCTGAACTGTGAGTTTATAGTGTTGAATGTTTATAAATCTTCATCCGTTTTTGGATTTGATTATATCTGACTGTCATTAGAAAGTAGCGCATGTGACAACAGTTCCTGATACATGAACAGTATCTATTTAAATGCTATGAAATCCTACCCATACATAATAACAACAGAGAGCAGACAATATAATATTAAATTATAACGTAGTTTAGAACGATACCAGCTAATAGCTTTGGTGAAATATTGAGTTTAATGACATATAAATTACTGGAAAAATATATGTATACAATCGAAAATCCTTGCCAAACATTTATTTATCATTTAAAGTTTCGTATATCATGATATTTCCTATAGCATCTTGTACGTAATTACAAACGATAATATTACGCACTTACATTGTACGAATACATACATATTTATTGTATTATATTGTTTGGTGTAAAAATAAACGAATTATCGTGTAGTTACAGAAATAATAAAGGTACATTCAATATGAATAGCTCCGTGATAACATAACGTCTATATGTGTTTATTTAAATTTAACTTGTATTTCGGATGCCTATTTGGCAGAATGTTTTTTTAATTTTTTTTTTTTTTTTTATTGAAATGAAACCACGAGGTATAAAATTAACTGACGACCTGTAGATGAGTTTGCGGCGGACGCTCCTCTTGAAAAATCCGCTGCACCCGTTGCACGCCAATATCCCGTAGTGCTTTCCGCTCGATGTGTCACCGCACACGACGCACGACAACCCCAGTGTCTTGGTCTTGACCGCGACTTGGCTGCCGGTCGCTGCAGCCGCTCCGTAATGTCCGGTGGTCGAAGCGATCGAAGTCGGTGGCGTTCTGGACGCGGACACCGGTACCTGTTGTGCGGCACACGCGGCAGACATGCACAGCGAAAGCGGCCTGTCTCTCATGGGATAGTTCGAATCCGTGTCTGCAACAAACGTCCAATGATAATAATACTTATTGTTAAACTAAGAAATAATAACAATCATAATATTGTACCAGCCGTAGACCGGTCTCTTTGGGCAGTGACGTGACGACGGGTAGATTACGGCCTGCCCGGTTTTCAAACCGTTTATGAGTATCATTATCGTTCGTGTCCAACAGTATTAGAGAGCCGAAGTTAAAATTACAGAGAGCAGCCGGAAACGTAGTGTTAAAATTTTTAGTGTACCGAAAATTATTTAGAAAAATGAATACTTTGAAAAAATTCTCCAACTTCAGTAATTTATTTACGAGATATGTATAAATGTTCCAACCAGTGGTGTTCCCATAGGGTGTACTACATATGCGCCGTATACTCTCCAACATTATTTTGAAAATGCACGAGTATACTACGTATACTCTCAAGTTTCAAGCACTTTGTGACAAAGTATTAAATGTTATTAGTCTTGCAGATTTTAATTTTGGCATTATTTTATTATAGACATTCAGTTTTCTCTGAAACTATTAATGTATTTCTCTGCAGTAAATATCGACGGTACACCATGTTTTAAATTTATTTAATAATTGTAATTTTTGTTAATATTTACAACTCTTTTCCACCGCCCACCACTGACTATATCATATAAATGTCCATATTCGAATACTCGTTGGCGTAGTACACTATTGATGGAAACATCATTGATTCCAAGCAGACATTAAGTAAGAAAATATACGCAATAGTTAGAACTCTCTAAATATCAGGAAAGCCCAGAGGCGTCATTTAAATTTTTGAAAGGGTTGGTCAACTTAATAAATTTGCCGACTTGTACTAATATTTAAAAATTATGGTTACCTATATATTTAAATATTTAATATTTATGGACGATAGACTATCAATAAAATATTTTTTTCGGAACAAAACATTTAAGGATTAGTAATGAATAATGATGTCATGATAATAAACAAAGAACATGAAACGTTTCAATTTATCAATTTACCCAATTAAATAATAACATTAAAGATAGTAAAACATTAATTTATATATTTATCCTATAGGCTATAAGTTACCTATCAATAAGTTTAATGGAATAATAATATAAATCTAGTTAAATAAATACTTATGATTTTATTATTTGTATGTATAATTCTTTACAGAACATATTTATAAAAACATAAAGTTGTATCTCAAATATAATGTACCGTAGTTTGAGGTGAATAGGAACAATTTTAACGGTTTTTTATAGATTATGAGATCATTTTTTATGGTATGGATATCACTGTTTATAAACTGTTTTATAAAGATCACATGTATAGAAATAAATAATATACCAAAAATAAAGTTTATACCAGGCATTGTGATACAAACTCAAACACCTCTTTGTAATACTTTTACCCTGTAAAAAATGCACCGCTAGTGTTATCGGCGACAGTGCGAATTTTACTATTGAACGACATATACTTCTCTATAAACATATATGTATATTATAAGCACTAAGGGTTGTTCATCTACACGTCAGTTGTTTTGTTAAAACAATACGGATAAAAATAAAAGAATCTAATGATCAGAATAATATTTCAATAAACGGGTACGACGGGCCTGAAACGCGTAGCTGTTTACGAATTGTAATGAACACGTACGCAATTTAGTGGCCCGTTTTGCGGTGTAAGAATGGCGGACGGTCCTTCCCTTCAGCTCCCAATTTCCCCCATTCGCGTATAACATTTTTCAACATAATAATATCACTTTTTATCTTTGGAACTTTACCGAAGCACCTTCTCACGTCTTATCACTTTTCCCGACGGCGGAACAGAAAAATCTGAACCCGGTTCATTTTAATCGGCGTTGGTGGTCGGTATAGGCTACCGCCGCTGGTCGGAAAGAATCTGAAACGCGGCGTCGTTCGTACCGCGTGGCGGTCGCGGGGTTGTGCACGGGGCACCGGTGATGTTATCAACCGGGTCCGAAGGAGCGGACGAGATACACGCCGGGCAATCATTAAATCCGGCTTACTCGCGCTCGACGGCAACGGGACTGCTGGTGCGCGTGCACGGTGCGCGAGGCCGCGCGTCGATTGATTATCCCCATGGGGGGCGTGCGCGCACCGGCCGGGGCTTAACGTCGTGGCTCCGCGGCAGGAGGGAGAGAGCTGTCGCGGACACATCTGGCGCGGCGCGCATCCCGGGCACCGAATGAATCGTCGCTTACGCCGCGCGTGCACAACTTTAAAAGTCATTTTTTATTCGCAACCCGGAGCCCGTTCGCGCGCGTAAATAGGTACGCTGCCCCGTGCCCACCAAACACCGTGCATATTATTATTATTTTTTGTCATGGCTGAATCATGATTGCACTACATTGGTCGACGTGTCTTACGAACCTACGCGGTTAATAAAAAAAATTTAGTCGATTTGTCTTTGTTGCTGTAAGATGACCAAAGAATAGTGTTAAATAAATAAATCGACATATATTATGCAATTGTACCAACAAGAATTTTAATTTTTTCATATTCCGTTTATTTTTATCGGTAGGAATTTGAAATGTTATTGATTGATTATAAATTAAATAACATTTTATTGCTGTACGATTTGATTCTCCTTGAATTCTCTAAAGAATCAACATGCCTAGACTGGAGGCTGTATATTCTTAACAAATCATACACATTAATTTTTGAACAGTACATCAATATTCCGAGAATACTGCCAAACAGTCTATAGCAACGTAAATCAAGATCAGCAGGAAATTAATTCATAAAATATAAATATTTATATTACCTGTTCTATTGGAGATTTAACGATGAAAATATTATACAATAACGAAGAGTGCGTCTATCGTTTGAATAATATTAAATTGATCAGTGTGAAAATAATGTGTCATCAATGATTTTATTTTGAATAAACGAGTTATAAGTATTATTATTAATTATATTTATATTATATTTCATAATCACAGAGAATAATGGACAAAAGAAATATACGATTAGTAGTCCCTTATCGCTTCTGTATTGTCGTCATAAAATATTCGCTTTGAAATTAATGGAAGAGAAAAATTATAGGTCTTTGGAAGGAAAAGTCCTAAGACTATTTACTGCATATATGTTTTGGTACATTCATTCAATAACAACCGTCTCAATTGACGATATTATCAGACGTTTTATTGAATGTATTACAGTTAGCTTAATTTGATTGGAACTATTTAGTATTTGGATTCTAAATAAAACAGTCAGGTAAAATATTACATGCTCCAAGTGTAAGTATACTTTGTAGTTTGTTGTATTTATTTTTATAAAATTAAAAAAGCAATAACAAATCAGTGTATCTGGAAAATTATTCTGAGCGAAAGATTAATACTCAATTATATCACAAACTAAAATTATTGAATAATAGATTTATATTTATCATATTATATTATGCTCTAATCACAATCCATAAATTCAAAAAAACAGAACATTACTTATTTCATTCAAATGTACTTATTTACCTACGCCTTGAAAAATATTTATATATTATAACCAACTGTATTTTTCCAGTGTCTCTAGGAAAAACAAATAAAAAACAATCTCTTTCTTTACCACATTTGCCCAATTTTCGGTTTTAAAAGTTTGCCGTATGAAATATTTAGTATAAATATATTCAATAGCCTGCAAAAGGTCAAAAAAAAGAGGGACATTTTTATTTAATAATACAAAACTCATTATTTCCAGAATCTAAAACATAAATAATATTTATTTAACTAATCATTATCATTATTTATAACAGTAAAGCACCAAAAAATTCAAAATGAACGACATCGATGATTCTAAGAACTTGAAAGGGTTCAGCCGTTATTTCAATACGACTACTATAAATGGTCGGGTAAATGTGAGTATAATGTACATGAATACAAACATTTTATTAAATTGGCGTAAAACATAGATTACACAATTCTTATAGGATATTTATTGATATTATAAACAGAAAACTTATAAGAAAATTTAGGCCAATATTAATTATATATTAAGAATGGTCAGTTACTACAAGCCAAATATAATGTCGAACGGTTGATATTTTTCTTTCCTAGCTAATCAGAAATATTTTTGTTTTATAGATTTCTTGTGCTACATTTACAGTAATAGGGTTGTTTCTTCTCTACAATAAATTCAAGCCAAAACAGAAAGAATTTCAAAAATAATTCAAGAAAAATAAAGTTAATTTTTTTTATAAATGCATATAATTTTAAATATGTTGAAAATATAAATATGTAATTAATTTAGTGATTTTTATTTTTCAATGTACAATTAAAATGTATAACAAAAAAAAAACAAAATTCTAGATCGGATGAGATACGAAAATGGGTAACGGTAATATTGTACTTGCCTTTTAAATCTGAGATCAATATACTATTACTTTCGAAAAAATTATTTTGAGTGAAAGAGGTCGGAAGGATTAGTTTAAATTTTAAAGATAGTTGATATATTAATAATATATGCTGAAATTTTAATTTGCTTACCTTGGTTAGAAAAATAAATATATTTAGAAAAATGAATTACAATAAAATATTACTATAGTAATATTTACCCACCGTATTATTTAAGCTGTTATAAGTTACAACCTATTTAAACTTGGGAAAAATCTGAAATTTCAAATGCCTACAATGATTATAAATTTCATTAAAATAATTCAAAAATTATGAAATGTCTTTAAAGTATTACTCGTAACATAATTATTCAGTAAATATTTCGAATAACTAAAATTAATATTTATATAATAACAATCAAATATATTATATCGTATAATAAAAATTTGTTAAAATACCGAAAATTTCATTTGCTAAGGCTTATAAAACATTATTACATAATTTATTTATTTATTTAAATAACAATTATTTTTATTTATTATTTTCTTTTTTGACTTCAAAGAAAATTTTATGAAAAATCTTTTATTACATTTTCAAGCGTGAAGTATTAAAATTTAATGTCTTATGAATTTTACTTATAAAATGTAACGGAATATTTGTCGTTATGTCAACGTGTAATATTCAAATTCTCATATTTAAATATTTAAATATTTAAATTCTCATAAAAATCATTATTGAAATGTTTTCATTAACTTACGAAAAATATGTATGAGAAACTCTATATTAAATTTTCAAGAATTTTCATCATAATTTTATTAATATTTTATGAAAAGAAGTTAAATATATATTACATTTTCAAATATCTATACATAGCTCTTAGAAATTCAACATTTTTTAAAAATGACATTATTTTTTATTTATACTGATTGGTGATTTAAGTATTCACTGAAAATTATAGTCTCTATGATTATTATTTTTTGAATTACGATCATAACAAATTTTGATTTAGTCAATAACTGGTATTTTGTATATTTTGTTGTTTTTACGTGAGTCGTCATAAAGCACTTGCTAAGTCATAATTTTTACCGTATTTCATTGAATACTATTCAATTAAATAATGTTTGTATAGTTTAAAAGTATTACAAAATTAATTTATAATAACATTTTAGTTCTGATAACTATTTGTAATTTTTATTTTCACATAAATACGAGTATATGTACTAATAGATCTAATAAAAACTACGGTCGTATTTTACAATTTAATAATATTCCAAGCTAAGATATTATCTATTTATTTCTATTAAAAACTGTTTGTTTATTTTTATATGAATAAACTGTTGCAATTATTAAAAATATTTTTTTTAATAATATTTTTGTAATGAGTTTAGTCAAGTATTATATTATTGTTATGAAAATAAATTACATATTTAGATACATTATTGTATTTATCGAAATTGTATAACATTTGTTTCTACATTTATGTTATAATAAAAAATTCAGTCAAGATCTGAAAATTGATTAATAAATCAAAAAAAATCAGACGAGAACTATAAAATAACGAGAACGATTAAGAAATCCCAAAAGGGTTTTCGTCTCCAAGGATTTTTCGAAAACCCATAAATTAGATTAAATAACAGAAAATTGAGTTTGCTATTTAATTATATTTGCACATATTCATATAGAAACAAATAAAATGGGTAACAAATCAAGCGATTCGATGATCATTAATACGTAACTTATTGTTTTTATATATAAACCTTGTTACTTCAGTAATACGACTATTACGCACGTATGTTAAATATGATATATATAAAAAAAAACACTTTTAATACAATTATTTTATTTTTCCATGATTTGTGAAGAAGTGTAGATATATTTGTATAGTTGTACTTTTTATATTATTGAGTATTTATCAGAATATTTAATTTAATCGTTATTACTAGAAGTAAAATTGTAGTACACAAAACAATTCTAATGTAATAATTTAAAGAAGTTACTTAAAATATTGTTAAGGATAAAATAAAACTATTTTTTTACTTATAATAAAAGCGTGAAGTATATTTTTAAGACGAATTAAAATTAAGTAATATTTTTTTAAGTAATTTAAGTATAGAAAAAGTAACTAGTTTGGTAATAAAAAAGTAAAACTAAAAACTTTGTTTTAGATTCTAAAACATTGTTTTACAAAGAAGAGTTACTAGATGTCACTACCAGATTTTATTGTAAATTGGTAACTGGAGATTTAAGCATGTTTAATAGAATACACAGTAATGTAACCTACAAAAAATATATATTTATGTGCTACATAGTAAAATGCTAAAATAAATTTCTTATGATTTTAAATACATAAATTATTATCATGTGGTATTAAAAAATTACTCTCATCAAAATGATATGAATAATACAACTGAATATAATAATTTACTCCTGTGATTTCATTATTTAACCTATTTAAATAAATACGTGTAAAATAATGTATTAATATAAAATAAAGTATTATAGTAATTATATAAAAATATTATAATATATATAATATTATTATTATTTTTTTTTAAATAATTATTATTTTAAAAATTTATGAATTAGTTATAAATGGTTATTCATACATTTAAATTTTATTAAATATAACTTAGTGTCTTTTTAAATAATTTATAATCAAATAAATTAAACATTTATTTCACAATAAAACATTGAAAGAAAAAAAATTATACTGTAAAAATAATTTATACTTGGATTAAGAATAAATGATAAATATTTTACTAAATAAAAGAAGAAAATCATAACTTTTCCATCACATTTCAAGTAATTTATGTAATATTAGATAAACTAATAATAATGAAGGAATTACTACTATAAAAAATAAATTAAATAAAGAAAATAATGTTTTACTTTATTAAAATTTTTAATTGAATTATAAATAAAACATCATTAAAATAGAGAAAAAGTCAAAAAGAGAATATTATAGGATCATTAATTATATTATAATATTTAAATATAATAGTCTCGGAAGAGAACCCCATGTAAATCAGTTATATTTTTATACGAAATGAAAAAGGAATGCTTAAGTGGTTAGAATTGTTGGCTGCGTCTGATTGCATAAATAAACGGAAATTGGGTAAGTATACGCAATGGTCGAGATAGGGGATGAGGGGATTTTTTTCGTCGCCCTTCGCGCACAGTTCTGTTAGAAATGCTAATGAAATCAGACAAATTGCAAAACTATATTCCGAGGGAAATGTTTTTTTTCTGTCTCTGACGCGCATGAAGGTCTTGACTTTGGCGAGTGAGGGGTGATACAGCACGCTCCAGGATGAGTATTTCCATTTAGCAACAGATTTATTCCTTTTCCTCCTGTTCTAACACAGTCGCCACCGCCGACGGGAGTTTTTAAGCTCCAGGGGAATACACCGCGGGCCCCCACACTCATTTATTCCAATCTTCCGTCGCTATTTAAAGTTTCTTCTACCATCTACATTACTCTTGTTTAACAATGAGTAAAGCAGATTAGGCTCACTGCTCACAAACAGTCCCTCCTTTTTATTATTTTATTTATATATTTATTAAGATTATATCACATGATAGTTCTGGTTTTTTTTTTTTTTGTATAGTTATTACAGTAATTACTATATTATTTATGTATAACTACAAAAAGTATATAACTAGTATTGGGTATAAAATGACTATTATTTAAAAGCTTAATAGTTTGTTAAGTTTTCTATGAAAATATTAAATATTCGTTTTTAACTGGAATAATATAGCTAACTTTCCATTTTTTTTATTGTTAAGTTATTTCCGGCTCTCGCTGTAAAAATACTTGCATGTGCTTAGGCAAATAATATTTTAGGCTGGATAATAGATTTAATATGGGAAAATAATTGCTAATTGCTATTCTATTTTCTTAATAAGCTAAAAAATTAAGTAATAATAAGATGATAAGTTACTTGCATATTTGTAGCGAAAAACAAAATATATACACATATATATAATCAGTAGGACATTATTTTTAAATTATCAAACTATACTTAAGAATGGTTTGTTAATCCAATTTAATACATTTTTAAACAAATATAATTCTAAATAATAAGTATTTAAAGTTTTGTGAATTTGATTATTTCTAAAAATATTTTTCAAAATAATGAATTTAACAAAAAAACATAAATTCTCCGGTCCAGATTTATTATTATCTATATGAAGATTTAAATTAAAATCAAACTAAAATCAATCAATTTAAAAATAAAATATAACTCTCAATTCTAAATATTAGTATTGTAAACTTATTAAAATTGAACTTAAATTTTATAATTTGTGTTAAATAATATGATAATTTACTTCTTAATTCTAAATTCGATTTTTTTACCACATACAACTTATTAAAATTAAATTTTAACTATAAATTTAATACGTTTTGCTTTGAAGTATTTATTAAAAAAATATATAGTTTTAAAATTACCTCGATTTTCACTGTCATTATTCAAATGAAGACTACCTATTCTTGGATCTGTTAAAGAAAAAATAGGTTGTGCAGATTGTTGAATTGAAATAAATGAACGATCTGCATCTGTTGTAGTTAGATTCATTTTTAATCTGAAATAAAAATTATTAAAATATTAATGGAGATGATAATTAAAAATAATACATAATTGTGTCGCCTAATAAAATACCCGATTCACATATGTTAAGAAAAAAATAAAACACATAATTAATTTTTCTCAACATTAATAGAACAATATAAATTGTTTTTGAAACAGAAATAAAACAAAAACCAGACTTAGTGTGGACCCAGCATAGGTAATATATAATAGCCACAATAACAATATAAAATTTCTTAGCATTGAATAATCCTCGGATGAAATGTATACATAGTTGTAACAAAATTATCTTTATTTTGCAATATGTTCAAAAATTAGGGTCACTTTTTGTGACAGGAGCCGAAGGCTATACTCCATACAATACAATAATGGGCGTATTTTTTTCATTTCTATAGAACAGTTCCATAAAGTTTATATAACTTAAAAATTGCAATTAAAAATGAATAGTAAACTGAAATTGACTTTTGAATTTCATTTTCACATAGTCGACTTCATTAAGGGTAACCAATTCATTATTTTTATTTTAAACACTTGAATCTAAATTACAGCAAAAATAATTAAAATTTAATTATAATTAAATTTAAATTTATTAAAAAAGACTAAAACATTTTTTATCGATTTACTTACATTTATTTCAACATTATTAATAATTTATAAGCTTTCCTCAGTTCTAATATCAGAGGTAAACTATTAATTTTTTAAATAAAGGTTTTTACGTTTATAAATTTTTGGGCAGAAAATAAACTGGTAAATAAACATTGAACAGTCTGACTAAAAATAAACATGTATAACAAACGTTCTTCCAAAAAATCATTATTTAAGTTTTTGTTTGAAATTTTTAAAATTATTTATAATGATTAATTGTAAAATAATACAAAATATAAAATATAGAGTAGTAACGGAAAACTCTCCGTCAATCCACGGACCACTTTACCTTGTATAGCTATTTATTTAACTTGTATTATTTTATTAAAATTAGCATTTTTCTTTAGTATATCATTAATAATAAATGCCCATTTATTTATTACTCAATTAATTAGTGACGCAAAATAAAATTAAAGTTATATTTATAGTTTCAAATTTAACAACTATCTCATTTATATGAATACAAAGATATTTAAAAAGGTCTATAAAAGTATTTTTACTATTTTGATAGTAATAGTATGGTGTTTTTATTAAAATGTTTAACTATAAAATATGTTATTAAGTTTATATTTTTATAATTTAAATATTAATTTTGTTTACCAACGTGCATGCCCATAAGAAATAGATAAAACTAAAAAATTAAATATTCATTTTTCCGGTTAAAAAATAAATGTAATTGTGAAATCCTATAAAAATGAAATAGATGTTAATGAATTTAGATCATTATTCTATAAGATTTTCAATATTCGATTAACCTTTCAAATTGAGTTTAAAATTATACAGAATATTATACTAATCCTTTAAACGTAATTTATTGAGATTGAAATTTATATAATAAATATTTAGATTTATTGAACTGAACAGTTATTAAGTACGGGACTTGTAGCATTTGCATGCATTTGATATTTATTGTAAAATATAGCAGAGTGCGAAATAAATTAATTTATTGATGCCATGATACTAATTCTAAAATTTGAATTTGCATAATTTTGCATATTTCATAGATTTTGCAGGAAAGTACTTATTTTAAGTTTTTGTGCTTATTTTGCAATCGAAGAACATTTACATTTGAAAACTTGTGGTCAAATGTAATTATTCAATGTAACAATTAAGATAAGTCTCATAGGTATAAATTATTTATTTATCGATGTGAATGGAAATTATAATTATTAGTTTTTCCAATCATTATATAATTGATGAATAAAATTAAAAAATTGGGAAGCTTATTATTTGTATTTTTTTTTAATTTTAATGTTACACTAATTAATAATAATAAATAAATTAAATGCATATATTTAATTTTTTTATGCATATTTCATGGTTTTTAAGAGCATGGTTTTAGCGTTTATTATTGTGTTTTTAGTTACTACAAGTCCCGAACCCCGAGCTATTAGTACCTCATACATTAACGATAGTAATTCACACAGACGTTGAAACATTGCATCGAGTACTTATATGATTGGTGTCAAAGAATCAAATACTGAGATGAGCGTAAAATGTTGATAATATATAAGCGATGAGAAATAAAATAAAATTACTAGTCAACGACCACTTACCTTGGGAAGTAGAATCGGGAGCGGAAGGCCAACGATTTTTTGCAATATTTATAAATATATTGGTGTCCGATTAAGACTGCCGTAAATGGTATACGTTCAGGAACGTATATGCAGTGCGCAGAGTCTTGTGTTTTCGGGATCGGAAAACGCCGACGGGAAGAAAAAAACGAAACGACGAAACGGTATGAGAACGGGAAAAACGGCGTGAAAATCAGATTGTTGCGTGTGTGTTGTACGAGTGACGTATCCGGTTCGCGTTTGGCTTATGCCCCGGGTCTCGGAGCTTAACTCGTCGGCCGGTAAAAGTCGCGGCGGCGTAACGGTGGGCGGCGGCGGCGGGCGCGGTGGTGGTGTGCGGCGGTGGCGGCGGCGGTGGCGTCGGCTGGGGGTTGAGGTTCGACCCGGAGAGGCTTAATCTTGGTCGGCCGACTGTCACACCCCCCCAGGGCGGCCGGGTGTCAGGGGCGGTGTGCAGCCGGGACCAACCGGAAAGAGTTAGAAATGAAATAGTGCGCCGAGCGCGTGCGCACCGGGTCGCCGCCGCCTGGCTACACGCACCACGGTCGCCATGTTTATTGTTTAGCGGCCCGACGCCGCGCGGGTTAATAGTTAAGCTCTCCGACACGGCGCCCCCGTGCACGACAATTTGATTACCGAGTATTGAACCGGCACCGCCGCCGCCGCTTTCCCAACGCGACACGTACTGCGCCTCCGACGTCGCTTCCTCCGTTCCTCCGAGTCTTCATCCTTTTCCGTTTTACTCTGTTTGTATATGCGTGTACACGAACACACACAAATACACACACACACACACACACACACACACACACACACACACACACACACACACACACACACACACACACACACACACACACACACACACACACACACACACACACACACACACACACACATAAACCCATGCGCACGTACACACGTACCGACCGCTGCACCGTGAGACAGCGACAAGTATCTTCT